TAAGGTAAAGCCTAGAGAGCATTTCATAACAAACAAAATGGCGTCGCGAGTTGTGGGGACAGTGCGAGCAGTTGCTAAAAAACGACTTATCCCTACTAAGGCTCCTTTAGTATTGGTGAGGAATGTTATTTTTATCTTTTATAATCAGAAAATATCGAAATTTTAAACCTAGGAGCCATTCAGTTCATCACTGACAATCGCTATCAACAGAGGTCATGTCATTCAGCTGTCACGTTTTATCTTACGTAATTTTTTCCCGTTAAAATCAGGAATTGAATAATTTCTAATAGTGTTTAAAATTATTTCTTATTTACTTATCTATGCATATACGTCACAAATCAGCAGTTCATTACTAGCAAAATCCCCCCTTCCATAATAAGCTGATAAGAACGTTCTATCGTTACAATGATGTTGTCCTACAGACCTGGTTCCGGGACCATAAAACGTAGATGAGCTTACTTTTGATCTCAGTCTCACTTTTACAAAAGGAATATATAGTGGAAAAGTGAGACTGAGTTCAAAAGTGAGCTCATCTAAGTTTTATGGCCCAGAGCCCGGTTTAACTGTGGTCAGCAGTCTAGATGAACTCCAAAAACAGCGTTTCCAGAAGTCAGAAATTGAGACTGAAAAAGACTCCGAAAATAGAGTCCACACATGCGCACACATACAAAAAAATGGCGATTTTTCAGCAAAAATGATGGGTCTACAAAAATTGTCCGTGCAAAGTTTTGGAAAGTATGCAAGTACTCAGAAATGCTAAATAAAAGACTTCGGAAGAGATCGTATTTGTCAGATTTTTGATTTTTTTTGCAAAAAAGGAGATATTTACTTTCAAAGTTGATGTTTGATGTCAGATCAATTACAGAGAAAATGATACGTTTGAGAGGTAAATATGCATAATAAAAGGGATATATATGTGAAATGGGACAATATGTATTGTAACAGTTAAAAACTTGACTGAATTTTAAACATGAATTAGCATTTTTTTTTTTATATTTGTGTACGACATCTGAATTGAACGCGTAAGTTCTTACCATCGTTATTTACCGATTTTTTTATTACATACGAACAGATATTATTATGAAAACATTTTTAACACTATTATCTTTCAATAAGAAAACTTTAAAAACAGCTCTTGTAGAAATTAAGGTCACAACATGTCTTTTAAAAAAATGAACCTGTGAATATCTATGCTCCGTGGTGAAAAATACAACCTGGGTGTCTTCAAAAACAAATAAAAGCATCTTTAATGTAGGAACGACATAAAATTTAATAGCGATTCTCTGTAACCACTTAAACTTCTTTGCCACGCATGGTCACCGATTTTGATGAAACTTTGCCCATTATTACAACTTGTCACCAGAAACATATATCAAATAAAATTTCGTTGCTATGTGTCTTGGTTGCCATGGTAACAGCCAGAAAAGTTGAAAAAATTGAGATTTTCAGCTACTTTGAATCTTTATTAAGCCTTAATAAAGACTAAGAATAACAAACAAACTATTCTCACAAAAACATGACACCTTGTTGCCACTTATGCTATAAAGAAACTATTTAGAATTTATCTCTAAGTAAATGGTAACCATGGGTACATTTGCAATACATTTTAGATGCTGAAAAATGCTGAAAAACGCTCAATATTCACTAATGATAGGTGTTACATGATCAAACTCAATCAACAACCTAAGAAAAACAATAAAAATATTTGACCTTAAGTAATTAAGTATTGGCAATATTATTCTAAAAATAACTTTCATGGTTGCTATGGTAACACAGAGTTACCATGCAAAATCTGTTGCTAAGATTGGGTTAATGCTACTATCTTGAGGAAAAACAATAAAATTCATGACTGGTACATATACATCCTTAGGACCTTGCAACACCAACAACATAAGAAATATAGGGATTAATTGTTACTTTGCAGTGTAACCATGGAAACAGCGTACCAGTTGTTTAAAGTGATATTTTTTTACTGCTTTAGGAATTTACATAGCTTTTAATCAAGGAACATATTATTTGACTCACCTTGAATAGTACTTATCTGGTAGAACAAAAGTTGAATATCATATATTGATAAAGTTTGTTGAAAAATACAATACTGTTGCTATGGTTACCAAGAAGGGAAAATGTTCGATTATGTTAATTTTATATCAATATTAAATCCTATGTGCCAGCTTTTTGCATCCAGTTAGAGATTGCTTGGTAGTCAAAATTGAAAGTCAGGTTAGTTGTTCATATACATCAATCATAAAAGTTTTGGGAATCTACATACAAGGGTACGTATCCAAGGAAACAAAATATTTTTCAGATTTTTATGCATATTTTTTCCGCTAATTTCCATAGCAACGCTCTATTTCAAGAATTGAATTTGAATTTTTTGAAATGTGAAAATTAGGGTCACACCAGCGCCTTTAAAAATTGATCATCAGTTATATAGAAATATGCTTTTTAAAAAGATAGGATAAGATTAAAACACTAAGAAAGTAAATTTAAAATAACTTTGTGGTATTAAAACCATGGCAACCATTGCTAACCTATAAGAAATATCATATTCGTCCTTGGTATATGTTACAATGATCTCTTGTCTATTTTTTGCTTGCATTTCAACCTATAATTTTTTTTTATTCTTAAGTGTATGACTTTATAAAATTAAATAAACAAAATTATTACTTTTGAATACTTTGTTTCCATAGTAACGTATGTAATAGATGATTTACCAAACATGTTCATCATGCATTTAAGACATAAGGCCTTCAACTTTCAGAAACAGTCATTGCCACTTGTTTGCTTTGCTGCAAACGTTAACTGTGGGACTCTGAACATGTTGAAAAATGCCATTTTTCAAACTTTAGGACATGTTGCTATGGTAACCATGACACGTAGCAACCAATTTTTGCCTGATTTGAGTTTACGGTATCAAAGACTTTTATCATAGAGAGTTTGAAGAAATTCTGAGACTATGCGTGCCACAGCTCCTATATAAAAGTTAAAGTCATTACAGAGAATGGCTCTTAAATCAAGGAGACAATAAATAAAATAAGAAAATAATTCTTACTGGCAATATTGAATTCGATGTCATATATCCAATTTACTATTATGCAAGAGATTGAAGCGATAAATAAGTCAATATCCACATATAATTTAATAAATTTAATTATCCATTCTCCAAAATTTAAAATAAAGTCACAATGCACAAAATACAGCCATTATGCAGCCGTATATTTGGAGAAAGCGAACGACAATCCATCATTTGTTTACATTGGACGCCATTTTGCCGCAATGCATGATGGAGCCAAAGACTTCGTTTTTGGAGTTCACACCATTTTTGGAGTTCGTCTAGACTGGTCAGGGCTTGTCCCGAGACACAGTAAGATTATTCTAACTAATAACAGTTTACACCGGTTTACATACAAAGATTACACAATCTAAGAGATGCATAGTATCATATATATCGTACATTGCATATGAAGAGAAATCAGGCTAAGTATCTTTTTTTTTATATGTAGCCAGTAATATTCTTTTACAGTAATAGTAAAAACCTGCCTGTGATTCAGAAATGCAATTTCTTTACCCCAAAGAATGAACAGGGTCTTGAGACAATTAGAGTAAAAATGTGTATGCAGTATAATACGGGAGTTGAAAACTTTCACTGCACCCAAGTGCGACTTTTTTTACATGCTGAAAAACTGCATAATTAAGAAAAAATTGTGATAAAATAGCTAAATCAAACCATTTTGAATAGCTAAATCAAGCTATATAGCTAAATGAAGAGGTTGTGCCAGATCTGATGAGCACAGGTTTTGTGGCAACATGAACAAAAGTTGGGCAATAAGAGAAAAAAGGTCGTATTATAATATTCTTTTCTTTGTAATCTTTAGACGCCAGCTGCAGTAAATCAAGTAAAGAGACTACTTAGAGAAAATTGTGATATGGTAAGAATCTCTACCTCTTCACAACCTTTACCTGGTCAGTTTGAAAATATCTTAAGGTAATATATTATGTAGAGATTTAGATTTAAATACATGTAAACCTATTGTACACAGCCAGTTCAATCACATGGACACTGTAAATAACTATTCCAAACAAAATTCAAGTGTTAAAAAAATGCTTTTCTCCTTTTTTTTAAAAAATAAAAATAAAGCATATTATTGTTTTCCATCACATTTACAACTACCTAAGTTATACCATTTCAATATTTTTTTATATGTTTAGCTGACATATTCGTTTTAAAGTATGAAAATATATATATTTTTTTAAAATACACCTTTAGAAAATTTGTAATGCAATTTAATACATGTATATTTGGGATCTGCATCTATTTTTAAAAAAATCATTTTAAGTTTTTGTGCCAAAGATTTTGATTTTTATACACTATAGTTGCTTGATTTTTTTTGGTGACAATTTGTTGCATTTTTTTCTGATAGAAAGATAGATTCTTGATTTTTGTGTGGATGCTAAATAAAGAAAAAAAAACTTGGAATGGCCTTATCCTACAGTGAAAATAAAAACTTAAAAATGTACATGTATATTCTTTACAACATCTGTGTTATGGTGTAATTTCCGAACAGAAATATTATCAAGTTTCTTTTTATATTTGCAGATTGGTCTAAAGATCGGTGTGAAGACCAGGGGTTGTAATGGTTTAACATACACAATGGAGTATGCAAAAGAAAAGGGAAAGTTTGATGAGGAAGTCATACAAGATGGTGAGTTTTTACAAGGAGTGAATGCTTATGACTTAGACTATTCTATGTAGATTATAGAAACTCAAAAAAATATATATATACTAAATGATACAATAATGAGAGAATTTTATTAAATGGCTTTCTTCATGAATCTTACACCTCCATAACATCTGGTCACTGTACTAGACAAATATCCAGTTATATTTACTCCTACCCACTATTTTCCTGCAAACATATCTTTCCTTGGACTTACGTATTATTACACTGCTGCATTACATATGGATACAATATATATACATGTACTCTAACACATATTTGTGTATCCTTTCCACTTATATGATACCTGTAAAAAAAGAGCAAATTTTGTACATCACATTTCTGAACTTAGTGACAGAATATGGATTTTTAGCTCTTCTGAGCCAAAGGCTCAAAGTACGTCAACTAAAAAGTAGTTCACCTTGACCTACTTTTTGAACTTTATGGCTGTAAACAATTAAGGTCATTAATTCGAATACCGAGAGGTTTAGAATCATTAAATCTTGTAAGATGATGCATCTTCGGGCCATAAAACATATTTATTAAAAAGTAGGTCACAGTGACCTACTTTTTAGCTCACCTGAGCCGAAGGCTCAAGTGAGCTTTTCTGATCGAAATTTGTCCGTTGTCTGTCGCCGTTGTCATTGGCGTTGTCGTTAACTTTTCACATTTTCATCTTCTTCTCCAGAACTACTGGGCCAATTTCAATCAAACTTGGCACAAAGTATGCTTGGGTGAAGGGGATTCAAGTTTGTTCAAATGAAGGGCCACGCCCCCCTCCAAGGGGAGATAATTACGAAATATCAAAAAATTAATGGCATTATTGAAAAATCTTCTTCTCAAGAACCAATGGGCCAGGAAAGATGAAACTCATGTGGAATTATTGTCAGGTAGTGTAGACTCAAATTTGTTCAAATCATGACCCCAGGGGGTAGGGTGGGGCCACAATGGACGGTCAAAGTTTTACATAGGGATATATAGGAAAAATCTTCAAAAATCTTCTTCTCAAGAACAGCAAAGCTATGATTGGTCATATTTATATGGAAGCATCCTCAGGAGGAGTAGATTCAAGTTTGTTCAAATCATGACCCCCGGGGGTAGGGTGGGGCCACAATGGACGATCAAAGTTTTACGTAGCAATATATAGGAAAAATCTTCAAAAATCTTCTTCTCAAGAACAGCAAAGCAATGATTGGTAATATGTAAATGGAAGCATCCTCAGGTAGTGTAGATTCAAGTTTGTTCAAATCATGACCCCCAGGGGTAGGGTGAGGCCACAATGGACGATCAAAGTTTTACATAGGTGTATATAGGAAAAATTTTCAAAAATCTTCTTCTCAAGAACAGCAAAGTTATGATTGGTCATATTTATTTGGAAGCATCCTCAGGTGATGTGGGTTCAAGTTTGTTCAAGTCATGACCCCCGGGGGTAGGGTGTGGCCACAATGGAAGAACAAAGTTTTAATTAACATAGGAGTATATAGGAAAAATCTTCAAAATCTTCTTCTCAAGAACAGCAAAGCTATGATTGGTAATATTTATATGGAAGCATCTGCAGGTGGTGTAGATTCAAATTTGTTCAAATCATGACCCCCGGGGGTTGGGTGGGGCCACAATGGACGATCAAAGTTTTACGTAGCAATATATAGGAAAAATCTTCAAAAATTTTCTTCTCGAGAACAGCAAACTTATGATTGGTCATATTTATTTGGAAGCATCCTCAGGTAGTGTAGATTCAAGTTTGTTCAAATCATGACCCCAGGGGGCAATCTAATTAAAATTAGATGTTCCGAATCCGCTACCGCTTCTCAAACATCTAACAACATCCCATTCGGGGTCACGTCAGAGCGACCTTTCGATTACCCAATGAAATCGCCTTCGTCGAAATCTTGGCTTATAGTTCGGATGCGATTCTTTTTTTACTGCCAAACCTAAACGCCCGAGGGGTTTCGTAGTAAACAAAATGTGCACGGTGAAGACCGTGCTATATATGAATGTGACGTGCGGGATATATAGTAGTTTGTGCATTTTCGTTTTCGTTTGCGTTATTCAGGTAAGAATGCCAGACTGGCGGCCTATAGTTCAATTTATACCAAAATTACTTTAATTCATCGCAAGACAGTCTACTGAGCATCAATAATGTAAAGGAGTAGCCGTGGAACTAATTTTAGAATTGTATACAGAAGGTTGAATCTGATTGGCCAAAATTTTTATGTTTATTCGTAATCGAAAGGTCGCTCTGACGTGACCCCGAATGGGATGTTGTTAGATGTCTGAGAAGCGGTAGCGGATCCGGAACATCTAATTTTAATTAGATTGCCCAGGGGATAGGGTGGGGCCACAATGGACAATCAAAGTTTTATGTAGCAATATATAGGAAAAATCTTCTTCTCAAGAACAGCAAAGCTATGATTGGTCATATTTATATGGAAGCGTCCTTAGGTGATGTAGATTCAAGTTTGTTCAAATCATGACCTCCAGGGGTAGGGTGGGGCCACAATGAAAGTTCAAACTTGTAGAGAAAAAAGTCACAGTCAAAAAATCATGTAAGCATCCTTAGTTAGTGTAGATTTAATTTTGTTCAAATCAAACCCCCCCCCCTCCCACTCCCTTTTAGGGGTAGGTTGGGACCACTTATGCATTTAAGCTTTTCAATACTAAACAGATTTTTCCTCTTTTCCTAGCCACAGTGCTCAGGTGAGCGATGTGGCCCCTGGGCCTCTTGTTGAACTTTGCAGGCATTCGATTTCAAAGTGTTGTAGAGGCATAATTTGAACATTTTAAGGCCTATGATCATAAAACTTCGTAAGTTGATGCATCTTGGGTCCTCAAAAAAGATCAACTGAAAAGTAGGTCACCGTGACCTACTTTTCAATGTATATGACTATAATTAAATATTTCAGGTACTAATTGTCTTAGAATCATCAAACTTTTCAGTTGATGCATCTTGGGTTTTCGCAGTAGTAGGTTGACTAAAAAGAAGGTCACCATGACCTACTTTTGAAAATTTATGGCTTTAATTAAATATTTCAGGTACTAATTGGTTTAGAATCATCAAACTTTGTCAGTTGATGCATCTTGGGTCCTTGGAGTACAGCAACTGAAAAGTAGGTCACTGTGACCTACTTTTGAAAATTTATGGCTTTAATTAAATAATTTGGGTACTCATTGGCTTAGAATCATCAGACTTTGTCAGTTGATGTATCTTGGGTCCTCGGAGTACAATAACTGAAAAGTAGGTCACTGTGACCTACTTTTGAAAATTTATGGCTTTAATTAAATATTTCAGGTATTAATTGGCTTAGAATCATCAAGCATTGTCAGTTGATGAATCTTGGGTCCTTGGAGTACAACTGAAAAGTAGGTCACTTTGACCTTCTTATATATAAAATTTTATAGTTATGATTTTAAAAAATATTTTAGTTATTAATTGGCTTAGAATCATCAAGCTTAGTTGATGGGTCCTCAGAGAATGACAAGTGATAAGTAGGTCACCATGACGAACTCTCAGGTACTTATTGGCTTAGAATCATCTTGGGTTCTTAGAGTGCGAATTGGAATTTCAAGGGTTTATCTAAATATACAGGATACTTAGAGGCTTCAAATAGAAGTGATAGGTTGTACAGTTTATCAGAAGAACGATTCAAGGCCCTTGGGCCTCTTGTTTGTTTTAAAGTGAAGCAAACATTCCAAACAGAGGGTTTGTATAAGGCCTAACAAAAATAATTTTCTGGATGACTAACAAATTATACTGTTAAAAGGCCTCCTTATGAATATCTTTGTCTAGATTTTAGTGTCTTTATATAAATTTTGTTCATTTCAGGTGTAAGGATTCTCATAGATTCTAAAGCTCAGCTGACATTACTTGGGACAGAAATGGATTATCAAACAGATAAATTATCTTCTGAGTTTATATTCAATAATCCAAACATCAAAGGCACGTGTGGATGTGGAGAGAGTTTTAATGTATGAAATTTTAAAAATAATAAATCTGTGATTGTGCATTAGATAGAACATGTGAGGTATGAACGTCTTTCATGGATGTCTTTTATCCAAATGTCATGTGTGAAAGTGCAAAGGGAAATACATTTATTCATGTGTGTTTCTTGTGCTAGTAATGGACACCCAGTTTAAAACACATTATCATACTTATGTGAGATGTGAAAATGTTATTGTGTATTTTGTTTTTGTTAGATGGGAAATATGAATGCTTTTTGCATTATTTTCCATTGTGCATCATCTATGAGTCAAAATGCTTTTTATAGGTACTTGTTATGAAAATGGTTTACACATGATGTAATACATTGTGTTGTAGTTACAAATGAATATTTTGAAGAAGTGTTACAATTCTTTTATTTATAAAATTATCTCAATAAATTGTTCTTCATAGATTCAGTTGTTATTCAAACTATTAGGTAAATTAATGCCAGTCACTATCAAAGTCAGGGCCTATTTATTATGAATCTTTTGGAAACCTGGGTTTCAGCATGATACTGTTTTTCAGAGACTAATAATCCAATATCAATGCAAACTCAACCGGAAATTTTCCACTTGAATAGTTTATAACTCTGTCACTAGAATGGTGTGCTGCCCCACAGAAGGTTTCTGAATTTGACTAGCTGCCAGAAAATATCAAAAATAAAATTTTTAGGGGAAAAACCCCCCCATTAAAATCCAGCAAGTGAATCTGCCAACTGTCTACACATTTCCTGTATTTGCTGATTAGTCATGTGTTGTGAAGCAGAGATGGCATTAGTTACAGCAATAGTCTCCATCACTGTGTGACACTTAATCCAGATGCGTCCATTCATTCCTACTGCAACTTCATACTGTAGACTCTTTCCTAGTGACTTGAAAAGAACACATTCTTGGCTCAATACCCTGAAAATATATAGGAACCATATGTATTTGTGTGATAAATATGTAGTAAATTCATTATTTTGCTTTATACAAATATATTACATAAGAAGATTATTTTCATAATTTTCATTGACTGACGTGGTACTCATGTTTTTGTGATATTGACGCAAAAGAGCGTGTGCTGAATATGACATCGCACAACTCACAGTTCGCTACACCAAAGTTCCGTAAAACGTGGCATCGTAATAACATAAGAAGCATGTCTTTACCATTATGATGTAATGACAGCCAAGTCTGTTCAGTTGGAACCCTGTGTCAGATTATTAACTTCAAGTGATTATATAATATAACTATTATGGACTTCAGTGAACGGTCAATATGTGGTTATAAAGACCCATGTCAAGTGATATTGACCTTAGACACAGAAAATGAAAGCAACCTTGTAAGCAGGATCGCTATCACTTTCTGTGTCTTTGGTCAATAATACTTGACATGGGTCCTTATAACTACATATCGACCTACACTGAAGTCCATAATTGTAATATTTCATAAAAACTTACTTTCGTATTAAATTAATGGGGACTTGTACCAGCATTCCTCCATCTCTACCAATCACACCAAGTCCTGCACTCTTTCCATGACTATCTATGCATACTAACTCTGGCTCCATATCTTTGTTTGCTACTAAAAATTTGCAGTAAACTATGTCACCCACCTGAAAATAATGATTTAACATATATAGCCTCTTCTTAAATTGGACAGGTTTAAAACAAAAAGAAATACATTAAGAGGGAGAAACAATATCATGATTATAACGTGATGTACAGTGTACCTTTACATCTGGTCGGTTTCTTTTTGTCGCACTCTCAAATGCCAAATATGACAGTGTTGCCAATTCATTAGCACCAACATCTACACGGAAGACATCACCAGCTTTTGCAGTTACAATCCCTATTACAGAATCTCCTTTTTGAGGGACATACTGAAATAAAAATAAGTATATGTATATTTTAAGATATCTGATTTTTCACACCTGTTCATGTCAGACACAGCTTTTATGGAGTTTTTAGTTTTAGACAATGCATTAAATATAACGATCAATTTTTTTGGTTGCATATTTCTCTCCCCCCCCCCCCCCTCCCTCCTGCAAGATGCATGTTAATTATGACAACATGTAGAAAAGTATGTCAACATGCAATGAGAAAGTTGATATGCAAGTTACCAATCTGAATTTAAAAAGGGTATATTCACTCACTCCTTAATATATAACATCATAATTGCTAGATGCAACATATGGTCCTTGTATTGACACGCAGCTTATTTACGAGTTAAATGAGGCCCAAAAAATAATAGTCTTGTTTCCTGCTACCCCACCGACCCTGTCTTTGGCCCACAACCCTTAAGTTTTTTTTTAAGTTTTGGAAGAAAAAAATCGGGAATTTCTGGAATTTCATCATTCTGTCACTGTAATCGGTTTACATATTCACACAAAACAAGCATTTCATGAAATTCTCTGTTTTAAATATGGACTTTCATAAAATACCACTTGAGTTGTGCATAAATGTTGTGCTAACACCAACGCCAGGGGTATAGCATAAGCTCATCTCGACTTCGTCAATGTGAGCTAAAAATGCCTTTGGAAAAAATAAAATAAAAAAATAAATAATTTTCCTACCTACCTACCCTATTTTTTTCGGTAGCAGGAAACAAGACTATTTTTTTTTTTGGCCTGACACGTGTAGCAGGTCTAGTGTTTGAATAGTTGGTACTTCACACATTTTATTTTATGTTTGTTGACAAATTTCTGATTTGACCCCTACCTTAACTTTTACCTTGAAAGTATTTGTAATTTTAAATGAAGTAGAAATGAAAATAAGATTAACAAGACTATACAAATTTATTAACAGCATAATAATGATTACAAAATACACTATAAACCTGTTGGACACAATTTCTTGTCAATAAAAATTATGTTTTGAGGTGGACTAAATTGACTTGCATGTTGAAATAACATGAATGTATTGCATCTAATATGTATGATGTCAGATGCTAGTTAGTTCTAAAGTAAATGTTTCCATTTTGAAATCAGCTTAAGAGATTGCTAAGTTGCATGTCATTTTCTTATCTCACACATGCATAACTATTTTGCATGCTGACATACTTTTCTCGTATACTCATTAAACTGTACTAACATAATTTATCTTGCATGTAAGGGGCAGAAATATGTCACTAGTCACCACAAAGTATACCTTCCCCCCTTCATCATATAATAGAGACATAAACAGGTCCAGCACAATCTCCTGATTTAGCTATACAGCTTGATTGAGCTATATAGCTTTATTCAGATTAGCTTGATTTAGCAATTTTACCATACTTTTTTTCTTAAATGTGTTATTTTCTCAGCATGTACAAAAAGTCGCACCTTGGTGCAGTGATAATATTCAACCTTGAACTCTTCTGAAAATAATGCATGTAAAAATCACTCATCAAATTGCGTCTTCAAAGAGACTTTGTACTCAAATTTCTTAATGTTTTTGGGCTATATAAAGCAATTGAAACAGTTACTTCTTCAATGAAATTATAAAGGAGGCCATTATGGTCAACAAGATAATTGACTGGTATTACATGTACCAGTGGCACTGGTAATAATTCAATACAATGAGAAGCAATCATACTTATCCACGCCTCAACGCACACAAGGTAGTGTACAGTTACTCGACCAATGGAAATTCATCTTTTGCTTAAAAGTATTCAAAAGCTGCAATGTTAGAACCATCTTTGATTTTGGTTGTTGTTTTTATAGCCCATAGTACACATACGCATATATAGTCAAATATTTGCGATTTTTTGTTTATTTCTTACAAAGTTTTTGTGAAAAAATGCATAGAAATAGCTTTATCAAGCTATTTTGAATAGTTTCATAATAAAGCTATATAGCTATTTCAAGCTATATTGCTAAATCAAGAGATTGTGCTAGACCTGATAAAATCTTACGCGTTTCTGAAAACTGTCAACCCAGTAAATATTTGGTTCCTTGAATTTCAATACTCCTGGCTTTGATATAATAACTGAGTCTGAATCTTGACGTATTCCTGGACCTAATACCACTTTTGTAGGTAGATCTGATCCATGCAAACCAGTGAGAATCTCTCCAGGTACAACAACTTTTCCCACATTGTCAACCATGCTTGTTTTCATTAGTTCAGTATCACCAATGCGTTTAAAAGCTCACAAGGGGAAAACCCTCCTTTTAAGCACTCTTTAGATACAGATTTAGGAAACTCACCCTTTAAACGGACAATTTTGAAACGGAAACCTAGGGAATTTATCGGTTGACTTTTTCTTATCAATTAATAAATTTTCATTTCTTTATTTATATGTTTTAATTGTTTTTAAACATTCTTAAGTCAAAGTTTCATGAAGAAAAAAAAATAGTTTAAGGCAAAAGAATATAAAATTTTAAAAACATGTTTATTTTCAATTTCATCCGCATTAAATTTTAGGTATTGGCCTGAATTTTAAGGTCACAATAATGTATAGTCTATTTCAATGTATCCATTATGAAAAACTTATTTTTGGCAAAGCTGTTCTTTTTAGATCGCGTTTACCAGAGAAAATAAAGGTAACGCAAACTTTACTAAAATGAAAATTAGCGGTTCTCCTTTAAAAAATCCCGATTTATTTTAGGTGATTTCGATTGCCGATTTTTGAAATAAACTATACAATTCATATAGAGAAAATGGCGTCAAGATTTGACAACGTGCAGGTCGCCGTTCTCGCGGATAATTACAATTTTAAGTTTTTGACTGATGATCCGCTTACTCTTGATGTTTCTCACCAAGGAGACTGTGTTATGCTCCAATTTCACAAAGGTATTTCTTTTTTAAACCCCTTTAAACAACGTAAAAATCACTTTCTTATATTGGCGGAACAAAGGCATAATGGAAATATGATCTGATAAAATAAAAAATAAAAAACGATTTCTGATAACAGCATCATTATCCGCCCAAAAAATATACATTATTGACAAATGCATGGGTTTAAATGGCGATAGGTCTACACATGATGTATTAATTTGACAAACGAGCAAAATGATCTTTTAAAATTACAAATATTTTAAAAAAAATGTATTTATACAAACTAATTATTTATATGAAAAAAAAAAAAAAACTTCAACAATCATGCATACTTTACATTCATACTTAACACACAGTTCACTAACTTTAAACATCCGTAAAATCTAAAAATTACATTATCATTTTTTAACCTATAGTGTAATTAAGTAACACAAGGTATGTTAATTTGCCTCTGTTTTGTTCTTTCACCATTTAATTGGTTGTTGATCTTTTGAACATCTACCTAACTCTGAATTACATGGACTACTCCCCTCTCCATAATCACAGTCAGTTACACTTTCAGAGACGATGCACTGGCAAAATGTTTCGTGCAATTCTCATCTATATTTATTGTTCTTACAATACCATATATGGCATGCTTGTCTTTATTTTCTTTTATCTCTGTAAACAGCATCAAACTCTGCCAACTGGAAAATTCATCTCACACAATGAAGTGCTGTGTATAAACTCTGGCAGAATTTTGATTGGCTAAATGACTGTTTCTAAAATTATCGGAAAAGTATTGTAATGTTTCTATGGAAAATAAAACATAAACAAATTTGATTTATTTACTGCAATATTTAACATTGGAGTTGAATTTTTAAACCCACTGAATCTTAAATTTTGCTCTCTGTCCAAGACAGTACATAGCTACTTCATATCATCAATATATTTTTTTTTATTTAAATGCACGTACTAAATATTAAAGCACTATGTTAGTAATTCTTTAAAAAATTATATTCTTTTGTAGATAAAGTTCCTGTGCACACACTGTCAATAAACAATGACACGGAGCATTCTCGATTGGGATCACAGAGTATCATCTTCACAAGAGACAAGGACACAACACTGGTTCATTTCCCTAGTGTTCACAGTAAGTCCAGTCTACTAAAGTATCCTTAAATTCCTACATTTTTACAGGTTAAAAATTTTTATATTCATGGTACTATATAAAGAATAAAAGATTTGTGCAATGCAAAAACATTTTTTTGTGTTTGTGTTTCAGATATGAAACAGTTTCAATTTAGACTGAAAGAATTGAAAGATGGCTTAAAATCTGTATTTAGTGACAGAACAGATGCAGCATCAGCTGTTCAATATTTCCAGGTAAACTTCATTACTATGCCACTGTCTTCACAGATTTCATATTTTATCCTTGTCCATTTAATTAACTTCAGTACAAATAGTTTTGTTTTTATATGATACATTGGAATAAACTGTTCTTCTTTGTAGTTTTATGGATACCTCTCTCAACAACAGAACATGATGCAGGATTACATTAGGACATCTACGTATCAGAGAGCAATGCTGGCTAACTTAATAGATTTTCATGACAAGGTCAGTAAATTGTCTTACATGAGGGACAGAAGAAAAAAATTATAATCTGTATAAAATTTCCAGTTCAAATGAAATTATGTTACTATAATTTTTTTCATTTCTATGTGTGAATAATATGTTTCATAGGTTGTCTTAGATGAATAATCCGTTCTTGACTGCAGGTTGTGTTTGATGAATAATCTGTTTTATAGGTTGTGTTAGATAAATAATCTGTTTTATAGGTTTAGTTAGATAAATAATCTGTTTTATAGGTTGTGTTAGATAAATAATCTGTTTTATAGGTTGTGTTAGATAAATAATCTGTTTTATAGGTTGTGTTAGATGTTGGTGCTGGTTCAGGGATTTTGTCCTTCTTTGCCGTCCAGGCTGGAGCAAGAAAAGTGTATGCCATTGAGGCCAGCAGTATGGCTACACACTGTCAGGTAGGGAATATAATGAACAAGAGGGGGGGATACTTGCAGCATTGATCTTTAACATGATTTAATATGAGATGATATGGATACGTGTAATTAGCTAAAAATTTGCCCTATTTTTAAATAAAATTGTAGTACATATAAGTAAACATTTCAGTAAGAGAAATGAATTGTATTTTGTGAATGCTCTATGTTTTCTTTTAAAGACTCTGGTTGCACAGAACAAAATGTCAGACAGGATAGTTGTAATTCCTGGTAAAGTAGAGGATATAGAGATCCCAGAGCCTATAGACACTATTATATCAGAACCCATGGGCTATATGTTATTTAATGAGAGAATGCTGGAGAGTTACCTTCATGCAAAGAAATGGCTGAAACCCGGAGGTAACCATTAGAATAATGACAAGAATTCATATGATTTGAATTACATTCAGGTTTTTACTTTGAAAATTTTTATTTTTGCAGTGAAGTGTTTGCCATTCCAAAAACCTTTTATATAAAAAATGTCAAGTCAGAAGCCAATGCTAAACTGAATAATGATGCCGTATACATTTTATAACATAAATTAAGGGCACTTGCTACAAACAATTTTTTTTTTCAAAAATCTTTAAACATTATTCTAAATCTGTATGTATTTAAGTAAAATCATAAACTTTAATTAATTGTCTTAAAAAAATTCAATAATGTCTTTTAAAATGATTAAAAGTTGAATATATTTCTAAGAGGAATGACAAAAAGTGAAAATGTTGAACATCATAGAAAATCTACCATTAATAATTTTAGAAATTTTATTTTTGCATCAATTGGAACTGAAACAAGTCCAAAAACATACACATGTACCAATCCATGCATCCAATTTTTTAGCTCACCTTAAGTATCAACAAACCAAATGCCACTAATGAAATTATTGACACTTTGAATGTCATTGAATTGGTTACCAACAAAATGATTGAAAGTTATATCCATATTTTCTTCAGGAAAGATGTTTCCAACTCTGGGAGATTTGCATATTGCTCCCTTCACAGATGAAGCTCTCTATTTAGAACAGTTCTCTAAGGCTAATTTCTGGTAAGTTTTGATGTGAAATTCAATACGTAAGCCATATTAGAGTTGATAGCATTGTATATGTGTACATATCTTGGATGCTCTACTTGGCATCCACTGTAAAAATGCTCACCACAAAGTACTGACTTTAAGTAGATTATTACATTGAATACTTTTAGTGTACTCTTATGTTTACTTTGATTATAATGTTTATTTACTGAAGTTATGAACTATAAAACGACCTTGCAAATTTTATGGTTTTTAACATTTACACCCCTAAATGCTTCAGGTATCAACAATCATTCCACGGAATTGATTTATCAAGTTTACGCAGTGCAGCTGTTAAGGAATACTTTACTCAGCCCATAGTCGTAAGTCTGCTGATGGTGAAACAAAGCTTCTATGTCACATTAGTATCAGTATTTTAAATATCCAAGAGAGCATAATGAAAAACCTTTCAGACACACACAAAGAACTGTGACCAAGTGTGTATGAATGTACATGTATATAAATCTGTTCAATTGATAATGAATTTATTGACCTGTAAAGTTTGTTTAGAATGCTGATATTTGCATGTATCTCTTTTGATACCCAGTAACAGAATAATCTGTGTACATTGTAGGACACTTTTGATGTCAGGATATGTTTGGCCAAGTCTGTAAAGTACACTGTAGATTTCCAGGCAGCAGAGGAAACGGACCTACACAACATCGAGATCCCCCTAACTTTCAGCATGCATGAGTCTGGTCTTGTCCATGGTCTCGCCTTCTGGTTCGATGTGGCCTTCTTGGGATCAATGTAATAAATACATAATATTGAATGTAATGTACAAATTTAGGTTTCTCCATTATACACTGTATTTTTTATAGGATGTGAATTCATATTCAACATATAATTACAATATTGGATTTTTTTGTTGTTGAAAATATCAGAAAACATATGTGTACGTTGATGTATGAATAAGTACTGAATTTTAAATACAGAGTGTAATTTCCTTTGTTTGATGTGTAGAGAATCTGTATGGTTGTCCACGGCTCCCACCGAGACCCTCACACATTGGTATCAGGTGAGGTGTTTAGTGGAAACACCAGTGCTGGTCAAACAGGGACAGACTCTTAATGGAAAGTGTGTGCTCAGGTGTAACAAGAGGTAAGATAACAGTGGGTTTTTGCAGTAGTTCAGTAATAATGACATGTTAAGTGTAAATTTTATACTAGTGTTAAGAAAAATATCACCATTAAAATCTGCTTTTAATTTCTCAATACATTGGAATTTACCCGCGTCATATTGGTAATATTGTAAATACTTGAATTTAACTGTGTCAGTTTGTACTTGAATTAAAAATTAGTCAGTTGGTGTTTACAGTAAAGACTTTATTTGAATTGTGTTCATTTTGCGTCTATGAAAGAGATACATTAAAGAGCAAATTCTGTCCCAGTTCAAATTCAATGTATATTGATGTAACCTAAGATTTAACTGTAAATAGTTGTATTCAGTGACAAATTGTTGGGTAAAAAATCGTCAATTTTATTGGTTACAGACAAAGTTATGATGTTGATATTGAGTTAAACATCCCAGGAACAACTTCAAAGTCCACAAACACACTTGATCTGAAAAATCCATTCTTCCGTTACACGGGTCAGACACCTCAGCCTCCGCCAGGGACCAACACCACATCCCCCACAGAAACATACTGGAACAGCCTCGCTACAGGTATATACATCAATTAGCTTTTATTATCAGCATTAGATAGTGACCAGGTTCAACCTACATGTTAAAGATTATTTAAAGAAATTGACATTTGTGTATTCTTTCTTTGTATTAAGGGTAGCCATTTTCTTTATGACCTTACTTGGGTTTCTAGGTATGTTTTACATGCTTTGAAGATGTTTTAACAAGTGGAAAACTTGCATAAAGGACAGGATTGTTGAGATTTTATTCCTAAGTATATGACACATTTTATCTGTAGGTCAGACGGTGTATATGAATGGCTTGGTCAATGGAGACACCAATGCCGTCCAGCTTCTTAACCACCAGGGAGTTGTTCAACAAAATCTCATCCCAGTCTGTAAGTTTATGAGCTGACCAATGATTCATTATAAAGACCCCAAAAATGCAGTAAACAGATATTTATTGTTTATTTTGATGTAAAATTACCCCCCCCCCCTTCCAATTTTTTTTATTCCTCTGTACAAACATGTAAATATATGTCTGTATTAATAATCCATCAGATAATGTACAGTATTTATATATGCATGTATTTACGGTTGTTATATTGAAATTATTGACTTTCAGCTGCTCCCATTAATCCAGGAGGTATACCAAGTGTTTTAAATTTGACATCTAATGCTAACAGGACGTCTGTAGGTGCTGGGATTAGTCCAGTCAACTTCACACAAGCACAGGTCTGTTCCATTTTTGAAATATTAAAATACCAACGAAGATTTTTTTGCAAGAATTAGAATGAATACAGAGGTTCCTTGATTTTTTTACCAGCTGTGTAAGCTCTCCATCTTTTACATAAGAATGATGAAATTTAATTTTTTCAGAGTTCTCTGCCGGGCCATTTTCCAGTCAGTACTCAGTTTATGATTGGGGACTATGTGATGCCAGGAAATGTTCTGTATCCCTCACAATCACAGTCAAGTCGGAAATCAGAGGCAGTGTGACAACAGGACATGCTACAGACAATGGTCCTAGAAACTATACAAAATATTTACACAGTATCTGTGTGCTCTGAATAACTGTATACCATCATTATCATTGGATCTCTTCCTCTGCTCAAACTCTGTATCAGTGTTTTAATTGTGTCAAAATTCCGTTGGAAGTAAGTTCTACACAATATACAGACTTCAGAAATGAGAGACAAAAGCCTTACGAAAATGTAGTTCAGTATTGTTTTGAAATTAGCAGTTAGTGATTTTTACATTTAATGTGTATTGAACCTGTTGTTTTCAGACAATGTGGACATTTGATCTTTTTGATCGATCATGTTTCAAGATAATAGACACAATAAAATTCACAATGTGTAGTGAAGTACATGTACTTTAATAGAACATGTGATATGCATGATCAAATGAAAACAATCTTCATTGGATATTAAAATTATTCAGTCCAACTCACATTTTTATTTTTCTCTGACATGACAATGTTTTAGAGGGAATCAGAGAACTAAAAAAACAGTACCATGCTTTGATGATGGATAGCAATGTTATGTTAATGTATTTGCCAAAGGGTTTTGAAAGAAATTTTGCATCATGCTGATAAATATACATGCAGCTTTTTTGTGGCATTTTTCACATGTGATTTTAATTGGCTTGGGAGTAGCTAGCTAGTTGCAAGGTGCATATGACAAAAACCATACATTGCAATTTTTCTCCAAACATACAACTTGAATAACTGCTACTGAAAAGATTGTCTAGAACTCCGGTAGGTGCAATTCAGACTCCATAAGATTGTTATACAGAGGCTCATACCTAATACAAAGGTAGTTAGTGTCCTGACCCAGTGTCAAGGTCATTTTGATCATGGTTACAAGGTACAAAAGTATTAAATTGTTCTAGACACACCTTTGAAATGGAGAAACAGAAATTTTTACCTAGACAAATGTTACTTGTTTTTCAAGAATATGTCCTGACAAAGTAATTTGGGCAAAGTCAAGGTTGTGGGTTTTAGAAATATAAAATTCTTGCCATAACTCTAATGAATGATTAGTTTAAACCTAATGGGTTGAATATGACAAGATCATGATTAAAGGTCATTAAGACAAGGTCTATTGACAGTGATAGTGAACAAGAGGTATGTCATGATTTTGTGCTATAGTCGTGTGCATAAGGTCATGGTCACCCAACTGAAAAGTTAGAAGTTCTTTGGGCCATGACATTTTTATGGTTGGACTGTTGGTGAATTTAGGGCCATGACATTTTGATGATTAGACTGGGTGAATTTTGTACACAACACAACCTTTACTCTCAACCCGAGGTGTTAAAAACTTCATCCAATTATTACAGTTCTAAAAGATTCAGGCCATGGGAATACATGTATGTAGAATATTTTAGAAAGACAACAGTTAAAGTGGGTCCCTCCAGGGGTATTAGACCTATTCAGACAGTTCTTAGTTCATTTGCAGAATAAAAACTGACAGTCATATAGCCCCCTCCCCCTTAGTGTGTTTATAGATATAATCTAGACCCCAGATCTAGTGTTCAAGTCTTATCAATCTGCCGACTACATTTGTATAGTGAATTTACTTCTCCTAGGCACCTGATCCCACCTCTGGAATTTCCAGGGGTCCATGTTTTATGCCCTTTTCACAGAATTGTTTTGTTTATACTTTTTCGGAGATTGATCACTGTTCGTTATCTTCAACTTTTTAATCTATGTCGATTGAGTGTGTCATTTCAGCTGAGCAAGATGATGAGCAAAAAAACTCTTCTGACCTTGACCTTTAATTGAATGACCTTAAATCTTTAAGGCTCTCCCTAATCAATCCAGATTTAACAAGCATGTACGTCAGTTATTACACCAAATTTGATGTTTGCATTGGACCTTCATGTAACACTGCAACTCCAGAGCCTATACATGTATATGTGTCTTCTTTTAATCTTCCACTTGTGTGTTAGATACATGTATTAATTTAATTAATGCTTCAAAGAAACAGAAAGCAAGTACTATCCAGATCTTTACTTTCTATATGTACTGTACAATATGCACTGTACATTATATAAATATATAATTGTACATATTCACATACTAGCAATTATAGTAAAATTGTTTAAATATAAATAGTTATTCACATGTATCACATAAAACTGTGATTAGTGCAGTCAGATATCTTGTTGCATGTTCAGTGTTGCAACCTAATAAAAAATAATCCGAGCACTAGGCCTATCACCGTGGTGATGGACTGCTCTCTAGTGACAGATCCACCGTCGGCAAGGATACAGTAATTCCATAGGGAGGTGCTGTGTTTACTCTGGCATTCTGAAAAATCAGGTAAATCTCAATGATCTCGAAAATTAAATTGTGAAAAGATCTGAATTTTCACGTAAGATGACTGAGGCCTAGATAAATAAATTTTGTGTTTCCGGTTCCCCAACCGACCCTAAAATATATGAGCTGACCCTAAAAAAGTTATCCGCAGATATCTTTCCAGGAGTAAACTATTCCAGTTTCACTATTAGAAATCCTAATCTCGATCACTTCCGTGTTTCAGAAAATGCATATCCTATACACATGAATCAGAAATGTTTTGACAGCGATTTACCCTGGGAAAAATGGTAGCGTGCTTGCCACTAAAATATTAAAATAAAATAAAATGTTTTCCCTACCTACCTACCCTATTTTTTCTAAGGTTGGAATGGGAAACACACTATTTATTTATCTTGGCCTGATAGCATACCTGGTTCATGCCTTGGATTGTGGCGAAATTATCAGATCTTTCAGATATAGGAGATATTGGGGGAGACACTGGATAGGCAGGCAAACCTCTCTAAAATTACACAAATTAAATGGTGTGTTTTACAGATGTAGATCAAAGCAATTCGGTCAATTTTTGGCTTTTGGGGAAATTTTGTTTAGAGCATATTGAGTTGTGTACCAAGAACTACATTTACAAAAATGCATTTACTGTTTGTGTATTTAGTAAAGTGTTACTTTTTGGATGCTTATTCATTATTTGACTATGATATGAATTCACTTACACATGACTTATAAATGATTACTGTAAACACAGACTTAGCTACTTCATAAAACATACAGTCAGTAACTTGAACAAAAAATTAAGCTTGAAAATAAACAATGCATACATGTACAGGTATATGTACTTATGAAAATGGAAACTTGCCTTGTTAGATGGTGGCTGAGTTTTTTCATTTTCTGGTTCACTAACTCTGGCAGGCATCTGTTGTTGCTGTGTAAATCTTTTGGGAACCTGCTGTGTATGAGGCATTCCACCACTTGGAGCAGAGTTTTTACTTATTTGTAGAGGTGGAGGATGAGATGAAGCTGATACAGCTAACTTGTATGGTCCAAGTTGTGGTGCCATCTCTCGCTGCTTGTGTTGCATTTGTTGCTGCTGCAGCAAAGCATGTAGACGTTTTTGTGCTTCCTCGTGCTGCTTGTTTAACTGTGCTATCTGTGAAGTAAGGTCTACTTGTCCATTTTGCTGGGGTGGCACAGTGCTCTGCACCAGTGGGGTGGGTCTGGGTACACTAACATGTGCTGCCTGGTTCGCAGTCTGAGAGGATCCAGAGGAGGACCCATTGTCCTGTGAAGTGGCACCCTGAGTAACTGAGCCCCGGGGATCTTGTGGAATGCTTACATTAGACTGTATGGGATGTCTGTGCTCCTCTCTGCCTGAGGATACCCTGACTTCTTGTATAGTTTTACTGACCATTGTAGGTTCATGAAATACATCAGGGTGCGCCAGGTCTGAAATATCCAGGTTCCCGTGCTGTTGTAGGCTGCCATTATGCTGGGGCTGTGTAGGTTGTACAGGTTCCTCAAAATGTTGACCTAGATCCATCATTGGAAGAGGTCCTAAATATCAGTATATGTACATGTTCATCAAGTTATCATAAATGCTCAGATGTTCATATTTTAATATTATGTCCATATACAGTTGGCTTCAAAAGAAGCAGTATTGTTTGTTCCTTTGTTTACCTGTCTGCTGTTGCGGTTGCTGTACTCGTGTTTTCCTGACTGGAGGGGATAACAATACAGCTGATGGGTTTGCTAAGTTTGCTGGGTTTAAATGCTGAGGTATAGCTGGTATGGAAGGCTGACTGTTTTCTGAAATGTTTGGGACTGGCATACCTTTAAACGAAATTAATGTAATTTCATGTAATTTAAACTCATATATACAGAAGATATAATTTACTACATGTAATTTGATAACAAAATATTCATGGGGATGTAAATTTGTGGGTAAGGGTGACCCACAAACTCCAAGAAAATTGGTCCACCAAAAACAATCAAGATTCCACAGTATTTCATTCCCGCATTTGAATTACTGGGAATAACATAAATGAAAACTACATTTATAAATAAATGGACATAAGTACTCATCACCATAAATGGATATAGAACACATCTTTATGCAAAAATAACAAGACATGCATTTCCTAGTAGAGGCAAGTTCTTTAACCTCTAATAATAACTTTGACCCTTCAAAAAATTTATTAATATGAAGTACCCCCAGTAATTCAAAAGCTGTGATCAGGATCAGAATGACAGAAAAACAGAAATGGAGGAGCATAAGTCTGCAGTGTACCAATATTTCAGGAAACATAAAGACAGGCTAAACACAGAATTGCATTAGAAACTACCAATGAACACCCTTTCGAAAATTTATTTTCAAATCAATATCTATAGATTTATATTGTACCTGATGATACTGTGCTGTGTGTTGACTGACTGGGATAGTATCTATAGATTTATATTGTACCTGATGATACTGTGCTGTGTGTTGACTGACTGGGACAATATCTATAGATTTAAATTGTACCTGATGATACTGTGTTGTATGTTGACTGACTGGGACAATATCTATAGATTTATATTGTACCTGATGATACTGTGTAGTGTGTTGACTGACTGGGACAATATCTATAGATTTAAATTGTACCTGATGATACTGTGTAGTGTGTTGACTGACTGGGACAATATCTATAGATTTAAATTGTACCTGATGATACTGTGTAGTGTGTTGACTGACTGGGACAATATCTATAGATTTAAATTGTACCTGATGATACTGTGTAGTGTGTTGACTGACTGGGACAATATCTATAGATTTATATTGTACCTGATGATACCGTGTAGTGTGTTGACTGACTGGGACAATATCTATAGATTTAAATTGTACCTGATGATACTGTGTAGTGTGTTGACTGACTGGGACAATATCTATAGATTTATATTGTACCTGATGATACTGTGTAGTGTGTTGACTGACTGGGACAATATCTATAGATTTAAATTGTACCTGATGATACTGTGTTGTGTGTTGACTGACTGGGACAATATCTATAGATTTATATTGTACCTGATGATACTGTGTAGTGTGTTGACTGAATGGGACAATATCTATAGATTTATATTGTTCCTGATGGTACTGTGCCGTGTGTCGACTGACTGGGACAATATCTATAGATTTATATTGTTCCTGATGATACTGTGTTGTGTGTTGACTGACTGGGACAATATCTATAGATTTATATTGTACCTGATGATACTGTGCTGTGTGTTGACTGACTGGTTGGTGGTGTTCTGTTCACTTGTAGCTCTGGTTCTATATACAGTCCAGCATTAACCAAGGAAACCTTCAATCAAAGATTTCATTTCATTTACAATTCATTTTCAAAAGCATTCCATCTAACAAGTTTTTTTCAAGGATGAGCAAATTTAATACATCTACCAACTCGGAGATTTTTCATCAAAGGTAGGATTTCTCCCCAACTCTAATCACCTATTGACAATTAACTCTTTACTTGTTACCTTTTTTACATATACTGTCAAAATTCCTTGAACATGTAGGTTGAGTAATCCACCAACCAAGCCTTACTTCAAATCTCCAAAGTTTAATTTGTTTATGTCCTTCATACTAATCTCTACCATTCTCTGATCATTTTCTCCCAACTACTAACGTTTTTTTGCGAATTTGATTAGTCAGGTTTCAATTCTACTCACTAAAAAAATTTCAAACTTTTACACCATGAACGAAATTATACACACATCAAAACTTTTGAAATATATAAAAGTACCTTTAGAGCCCTTATTTCTTGACTGGTCTCCTGTCTGTATTTGCTGTACTCTGTTCTCATTGTGTTGAATTCTTCTTGTGTATGAATAATGTCCTGGTAAAAAAAAAAAAAAAAAAAAAAAAAAAAAAACCATCAACTTAAACATTTTACATGCAACTTTACAGCATATAAATGTGCAAAACAAATGCATGAATAAAAGATAAAATGAAAAGCTTTTGAATGCATTCACGTTCAAAATGGCTTACTGAGGTAAGGGCGTCTATAAGGGATGTCAATTGCTTCACATCCTGCATCAGCTGTTCTCTCAGCAGAGCCTCAGCTTTCAACCTCATCTCAGACTAAGTAATATAAAAAGAAAAAAAAAATTTAAAAAACGAAAAATTATAATTTGAGATGTTTAAAAATAGAAAAGTTTAAATTCTTAAGAGACTTGATTTTCAAAAATTATTGAGATATTAAATGATTATCATTTTCCTCATGTTTAACCAGGCATTAGAGTGACAGAAAATCTACCTCTTTCAGATAATGGAGTGAGATAACTTGATGGTAAACTTACCTCTTTGAGATACCTGCTGAGCTTCGTTACAGAGTCCACAAGAGACATTGTGTAACCTGAAAAAGTATCCTGTCGAGGCTGTTCTGCTCGAGGACGACGGCCTGTCTGGGTCTCAAGATCTCCTATCTCATTCTCCAGCTGCACCAAGACCTAAAAAAAATAATGCATATGAAGTATCTTTGGTTAAAATTTACTGCCAGATGCATGTATAAATACACAAAACTTAATTTATAACTTGAGGTGTAAGTACCTTTTTTAATTCATTTAAGTTGAATGTAGAGTTATGCTGAGTTGCCTCAGGTTCAACTCTTCGTTTAGTTTTCTTTATCTTTTGTGTGTCATTCATGGCAGATTTTGGACTTCTCAGTATTTCTATGGATTCATTGTGCTGCTTAGGAGGAGTATGGCATTCATCATCTGAAAAGAGAATTGACAATTTATAATGTAATAATATGGCGCATACACATACATTGTATTTTGGGCATGTCATTTTTAAATTTCACAGAACTATAAAGGAATTATGTTCATGTGTAAAACATAAAAACATATGTCATATAAGGTATGGATCCAGCTTGGGTCTTAAAAAGAAAGCATTATGATGAGTGCCATTATGTTCTTGTTTTACTGACTTTAAATAACATTTATAAACTTTTTCCGTTTTAAAACATTTTTATCACTATGGGGTATATCTTTACTTTGTGTGGTCTGTAGACTCTGTGTGTCCTGTATTCTGGTACTCTGAATGGGCCCCTGGTCCATATGGCTGAGGTGGGCCTGCCCACTTATTGTACTAAGAGTGTTGTTTTTCTCCTCTGCCTCCAGAAATCTCTGGAATCTGTTTAGATCTATTTTAGGTTGATACATAATGGGCTCCATTTCTTCTTCCTCATCTTTTGGTTAAACAAGAAAAAAAACTGATAAAATCTTGAGTATACTCAGAAATCTTTGAAAAATCAGTGAAATGGTGATGTAATTTATTGTATAAATTAGATGAACATGAGTTCATGTTATACATATAAGTCTGAAACAAATAACTTAAACATAATATTGCCAGACTGTCGACAAAAAGTGGTAACAAAGTTTTATTCTGATAACTCTCGAGTCTAAATGTACACAAGTGGATAAAGAATTATAGAAGTCTCACCACTCTCTGTATCTGGGAAATCATTTAAAGCCGACTGGTCCATCATAGATTCACTTAAAGTTTCCATGCGTGTCTTTATATCTGGCAAGTTAGCAACAATTGTCCCTGACCTTAAAATTCCACTACATTTGTAATAAAATTATAAGAAAATGTACATAGTCACATAAAAAATAGAATGCATATACCGGTATCTGTTTTGTACAATGCAAAGAAAAGTGCATTAATAATGTATTATAATTTTTTTTACCATATTTAAGGTTTGTATTTTGAATTGAACCAGATTATGAAATCTGAATTACCTGCCACTGTTTTCAGCATTAGGAGCCGAGGTGACATTAGGAAAACCAGTAAATCTCTGCAAAGAAATAACCAACACATAAAGAATTGGACACTAATCTGTCATTATTAAATTATACACTGTATGCAACTTTGTTGCTGACAAAACTTTACAAAATGGTTTTGATGCAGTAAATAAATAATTTTACCCTTGGATCATCACCAAAAATGTCCTTCACAACTGCCATCATCTTGTCTGACTTACTTAAAACATCATGTAGCTAGAAGAGAAAAGTTGGACTTATCATAAATAATTCTTATGTTTATTCAACTTTCCATAAAAGATTTCCACATGCTTATTTCTCTTTTTTTTAATTCATAAATCTGCCAGTAATGAATATCTATGAAGAATTTTCCTGGCACGATTATTTTTCTAGTTACCTGCTGCTGGTCATATAGGACTTCCTTCATTACAGCCAGTTGGCGAGCCTCAGCAGTGGAAATACTCAAGTTCTGTTTGGCAGCTGAAATTTTATTTTACAAATTCTTCTATAATATCATAGCTGTTTTGCAGCTGGAATTTATTTTACAAATCTTTTATAGTATAATTTCATTTGACTTTATCATAGCTTAGCTGTTTTGCAGCTGAAATGTAATTTTACAAATTCTTGTATCATGCAATTTGACTTTTAGCAAGTGAAATTACATGAGAAACTAGATGAAAATATCAGAACTACCATTTGCTTTCTTATGTTTTTCAAGTCTGGCAGCCAGTGCATTTTTTGACCTGTGGGAGGCTTTTCTTTGTTCCTAAAAATGTTTAGATGTGATATGTATAATCATGGATCTATAGCATACCCAATGTAAAAACACACATGTTGTAAAAAAGAATTAAAGAAAAAAAGATCCCTTTGGCAAGAATAAATCTCCAATGCACCTACATTAAATTTTACATCAAAAAGTTTAGTCTGTAGTAAATAAGCTTACAATTTCTTCTGGTGTGGCCTTCAGAGCTGTTAAATCTTGTATGGTGTCCTGCAAAATATTAAAAGAATACATAATTTATGAATCAATATTCATTATAAACCTATAATGTAAACAAATAACCAGAGGAATTATGAGATCTTACTCTAAAGTATTTGCTTATTGTAAACAAGTCATATCACAGATATTGCCTCCTTTTTATGTTTATCTAATGTCACAAATTACTGCAGTTCTGGAGAAGAATTAGAATGTAAAAAGTTGGTAACAACAGCTAACAGACATCTTGAATCAAAAAATATAAATTAAATCTCTGATTGTGGTGATTTAAAAAGGCGAAGGATGAAATCCTGCATAGATTTCTAGATCTATATATGTGATAGATAAACAAACAATCTACTCACATCCCATGCTGGCTTCTTTCTGTGTACTTTCTGTTTCCTTGGCAACCCTGCAGGGTGAGATTTCTTAACTCTTACAAAGGACATTTCTTCTAGTGGTTACTGAAAGTAAAAGTTAGTCAGGTACAGAATGACACTGATAAAATCACATAGGCTGTCTGAAATTAATTCAATGTTTAACTTCACCTAAAAATTTAAAACCCATGAGAATTTAAACAAAGAACAAGATGTGTTTGTTAAACACTGATGCCTCTGTATAGTGGATCATGACCAAGGTTAACATTTTTCCAAGGTCAAGGTCATGAGATTAAAAATGTAAATACCCAAAGAAAGGTCTTGTCACAAGAAATACACATGAATTCAAATATTAAAGCCCTAGAACCAACCATGAAAAAGTTATGGCCCGGGTTAAAGTTTTCGTGGACAACCAGACAAACTGACTGCCCCTGAATTTCTGATAATGGGGGCATAAAAATTTCAAACAAATGAGTATTTATTCATTTACATGAATCAAAATGCTGTGAATATTTGAGTAACATGTTTAATGATCTTTTGTTAAAAAATCTGTCATGAAAAAAGAAAAACATTGTAGTTAAATCCTTCGACGAGCAATGAGGCTCCTAAGGGGGTGTTTATACATGTACCTGGTTCCTGTACTGAGCTAAGCAGATGAGAGTCATTGACTCCTTCTGGATGGGACACCAAAAACCCATACCCATACCCCCCAGATTGCCTTGTCTAAGGACACAACACATAACATCAAGTGCCCACAACAGGGCTTGATCATTGTAAATCTACATTAAAATACACAAAATGCAACAACTTTTGCTTTAAAAAAAGTTTTTTGTGTCCCTACTGTTTAGAACATTGATTCCACATAAGAACCAATACTTCTTAAAGATCAATTTCACAATGATAATGATATTAAATAAATTTTAACTTATTTTAAAAGAAAATATTTACATCATTTTCATCATTTCCAACCCAGTTTTTCAAAAGGGATACATACAACTTCAAACAAACATGCATGACAAGATTTTTCAGTCTCCTAAAATTTGCAATGTAGCTAGAGAGAGTTGTCGTTATTTACAGAGACTATCCAAGTGTGAAGTATAATGTTATTCTAAACATCTAAACCACCTCCTAACCCTCTACAGTTGTCTATACAGACCAATAAACTTGCTTGTTGTGAATTTGTTGTCGGATGGCACAAAATTCACAAAAAGCGAGTTTATTTGTCTGTAGAATCAACTATAAAGGGTTAGGAAGTGGATAAAATATACAGGTTGGTTATAGAATATGTCTAGAATTAGGGAATGAAAGGTCGTTGATTGACCAATGCTGGAAAGAGGTGAAATACATCCTCTAGGAGTGGGACGATCCACCGGTGCACCGATGCATCACAGTATTCACTTCGACGATCTACAGATCGATTCATCTAATTTAGTATCACGATACCTGACCGCACTTCTTTTTTTATTTCCAAAAATGTCCAGGCTTTAGAATTCGAAATTTTTAGTCCTTTAGTCTGTATCATCAAGACGTTTAAACAAACACAAATAAAGTACAAACGTCTTGCTGATACAGAATTCAAGATATAAGCGTCAAAATGGCGTCAGACACGCCGGATTATATTAAATTAACGAAACCCAATGGCAGTAAGTCGTGTGTCTGGGACACCTTTGGGCTACCGGTGTATGTAAAAGACGGCGCACGAACAACAGATAAAAGTAAAGTGGTATGCAAGATATGTGATGCTCATTTGAAATACAATGGCAACATCAACAAATTTCTAGTTTTATTTGGTTTTAAATGTATCGTGATATGTATCGTATCGCACCTAAGGTATCGTGATATGTATCGGATCGGATAAGTTCAGTATCGTCCCTGCCCTAACATCCTCAAAGTGTGCAGAAAATACTGCACAGTAAATTATACTTTATTTACATTATGGGATCTGTAGCATTATGGTCAAAGACTAAAATATAAAACCATAACGCTCCAGTTCTTCAGCTAGCCATAAATAAACATGATACAAACACGTTCCTGTTATTAAATTGGAGGTGCTGACTGGCGAACACACAGTCATGAAGTTGAACCCTTAATCGACATTCAGGAGTGATTTCATAATAAAATAATGTAGAAACAGGTGTACTGTTTTCATTTAAGAAATACAAAGAAATGTATAAGTACATGTTCATGTGTATGTACATTAACACATACATGTATTTAAATTTTAAGTTTATTAATCTATGCACAGTGCTGATGCTAGGAAATCTCCCTAGAATTAGAAATTTTCCCCTCAATTTCTCCGTAGGAAAGTTAAGTGATTTTGGGCCAAGGTTGGTCCTAAATGTTAATGATAATGTTTTATTTTTGTGTTATTTCAGAAAAAGGTGAGACAAGCATATTATTTGGCAATTTTACGATGGTAACCTGTCCGAGGGCAAGTACTAAAAAATTCTATTTGTCTACTCCTGACAAAATGTGTAGACCAGAATTATCCATCATTTAAAGGGATCTATACATATGGATTCCAGCTTACAAACAAGTTGCAACAAGTTTTAATATGCATTTACGAACATTGCATGGTACTACACAATTAATACTATTTGGAGCACAAAAGAAATAAAACTACATTTATGCGCCTAAAATACCACTTACTTCAAATCACGTAAGTATATACAAGTTAAAAATCCTAAAACTGAAAATAGTCACTACTGTTCAAATTGAACAACCCGCTTCTATGGACGCCATGAAAGATTTTCAAGGGAAGTAACTGTTTATAAAAGACTATCATAATTACCGCGAATTCATGGGAAAAGAAAAAGAAATAAATTTGCATTTAAGTCGTACATAACATTCACGGGATTGTTAAGTTTTATTGCATTTTGCTGATGTTTTCAGTGGTTCAAAATACTAGGGGATGATAATTAGACAAGCTTAAATCAAAATTAATAAAATTTTGATTTTAAGCAAATAAAGAAAAAGAAATTTAAATAAAATGTTAAACTGAAAATTTTTATGAATGATTAAATTTAATAATAGTTATATATATATATATCTTTATATAAAATACAAAGGATTTAAGATATTTTGGTCTTTCTTTCTTTCTTTTTAAATTTGATATCATTTCGTAGAATAGTTGAACCATTTACTCCGGGCTGCGCTTTATTGTGCGCATACGCTTTGTGCCGACTGATAGGTGTAAAAATACCAATATTCTGTACATCTATTGTTCATTTTTCTTCCACTGTCGGTAAGTTTCACAAAACCAAAGTATTTTATATATTTGAAATCCTAGAAAGGCAGTTTTACTTGTTTAACGCCCGAAATCACTCGTCTGCAAAATGGCATTGTTCTGTATTCCGGTTCGGGATCTGCTGTATTTTCATTTTCGACAATCGCTCCAGCATTTAGGATATTGGCAGTTCAAAAAAAGACATCGTATTAAGAAATGTTTGAAATTATCACGTATTGTCATTTTTCAATTTCTTGTGTCATATTGATGTAGGTATTGACATACACTATTGATTCAATGATTTGTTTGGGGTTCCGACTTCAAGATTTGCATTTCTCCTCTAAGAGGAGTTAAAAAACAGGGATTTATTACATTTTCAACAGTGAAATACTGCAATTTATTTACTGAATAAAAGTGATATTCTGACAGTGTGAAAGGATATCGAAATGGTATTCTCACAGCGTGATATCAGTTCTAAGTGCGGCAAAACTTGCAATTTTCCTTCCTTTCACGAAGAGTGTTTTTCACATAATCCCTGGCCTGTTATAAGATAGAGTTAATAAACCATACTGACAGAGACTAATAGTTATACTGCCAAAGTTTTTCCAAATATTATGTCGTTAAAAGTCCATGTTTACAACTTTTTTCAATCGTCACAGCCTATGATATTGTGCTACAAAAAGACAGAGGCAAAGGGAAAATCTAAGTAAATGTTATAAACACGAAATTCAATGTTTTGTAGATGAATATGGAATTTATTTCGCTTGTGAGACAGGATTTTTTTTATATTTTCACTTGTGCTTCGCACTCGTGAAAATATAAAAAACAAATCCTGTCCCACTCATGAAATAAATTCCATATTCATCTACAAAACATTGAATATCCTCTATGTATCTAGCTATTTTATTTCACTACCCTTTTCACATCAAGGGAAAAAATAAGAATAATTGCTATACATTAATGCTGGAGGTGTGAATCCCTGGAAAAAATACTTGAAAGGAAGAGGGGAGGTGAAAGAATTAGAATTAAACATATTTAATAAACACACCTAACATTAAGCTCCTGGGTCTTAAAATAGGATGAGTCGTGGGACACCCTCACAACAGAACAACAATACCCATATCACATATCACTTGCATTTAATTTCCAGACTAACTTTGGATATTGACTTTAAAAATGCCTTGTAAAACGTTATCTGCCTCCATGGGAATTTCTGGATTATTGAGACAGAATAACATGGAAAAAATCAGTTCCCAAAAATTATTTAATGCAAAAAAATTATTTTTAATTTTTTTCGATTGCTACAAATATGAACAAATGTAATATTCTGATGTACCTGGTATACTATTAGCTGGTATTCAGTTCCACAGTATCATTTTATCTACGCTTTCTGACATCACCACATACAGATTGTGTGAAGTGAGACATGTCCTCTGGGGATGATGGGGGGATGATGCGGGCCACTCCCCCAGGTCCAGCATATCCTCCCCAGCAACAACAGGAAAATGTACAAAAGATCCATAAGGTAATATTTGACAAGATTAACTTATTCAGTGATGAATTATACTTGTTACTCTTTACCTTTGCAAGATGGTATGTATTGTTTTGTAAATCTTTTTTTTATAAATAAATTTCAAGGCCATGACTCAAATGGAGGAAAAAGGGATGCAAGATGACCCTAGGTATGCACAGCTAGCAGCTATGGCAGACATGGCAAGGAATCAAGGTATGCCTGGTCAGCATCATGGTATGGGCCATCAGAGAATGGGAGACTACCAGGGTAACATGATGCAAGGGGGTCCACCTCACAGTATGAGTGGTGGATCCCAGGGCATGGGAGGGGGGTCACAAAATATGGGTGGAAGCCAGCAGAACATGATGCAAGGAATGGGTGGTCCTCAGCACAGAATGGGAAATATGCAACCAATGCCCCATCAGGGACAGAATATGAACCAAGGAATGCCTCCACAAGGTCAAGGAATGACACCACAGGGTCAAGGCATGGGCCAGGGAATGCCGCCACAAGGTCAAAACATGGGGCAGGGAATGCCACCCCAAGGACAAAATATGGGACAGGGAATGCCACCTCAAGGACAAAATATGGGTCAGGGAATACCACCTCAGGTTCAAGGCATGGGTCAAGGAATGCCCAATAATAATCCTGGAATGAATAACCCAGGAATGCCTGGTTCCAATGCTGGAGGAAATTATAGTCCTATGGGTGGACAAGGAATGCATGGAAGTTCAAACATGGCTGGCCAGGGAAATATGACAGGACCTCAGTCAATGAATGCAGGGATGGGATCAAACTCTCCACATCCAATGCCACAAGGTGGCTCAATGCAACACAAAATGGGAGGCAACATACAGCAGATGGGAAGTTCCAACAGGCCAGACCAACAGAGTAAGTTTTTATTTGCTCTTTTAACTACAGTTTTAATATTTAACAGTGAAACTCAGCTATAAAGAACTCACTTATGAGGAAATCTTGGTTATAAGGAAGTTTTTGTGAATCCCACAGAGGACTTTGCACTGCATTTCTAATGCTGATATAAAGAATTTCAGATATAAGAAAGCAAAAATCCACATCCAAATGACTTCCTTACAACCAGGTTTTACTGTATTTTGAAGTGATTTTACATGTTTGATGGTTATTTCCTAAAGGTCAGCAAGGTATGCCAAATCAAATGGGTGGACCAGGAGGATCACAAGGTTCAGGAAGGCCAAATGCTTTTAATCCTCCACAGTTAGCACAGCTAAGGGCCCAGATAATGGCATACAAACTACTTTCCAGAAACCAACCTATTCCAGAGAATATTCGAATGGCAGTGGAAGGCAAAAGATATCCTCAAATGCAGCGGCCACAAGGTCTGTCACATTTTTAATATTGCTGTGAAGGTTTCTTTTTTAATCATTCTCTTTGTATTACAGTGATTATTTTACATTACTAAGGTCAGTTGTGTTAAAAATTGTTAAGGTATGTTAATTATGTTAATTATTATAATCATTAAATTATAAGAATTACCTCTCAGATCCAAGTGGTAGAATGGGACAACAGCCAGGGCAGGCTCCCAACTCTCAGGCCCCACACAGCCAGTCCTATAGCTCTGGATACTCTGGGGGGCAGATGACACAAGTACCACCAAACACCAGTGCCAGTCAGCTCCCCCAGAGACCCCCAGGCCAACAGCCAGGTTCACACCCCCAAACAGGGCCTCAAGGAGCTGCTCAGCAACCATCTACCCAGTCCATAATGCAACAGAAACATAGCAAGATTGCTCCTGTTGCCAAGCCACAGGGACTTAATCCTATTGACTTACTGAATGAAAGAGAAAACAGGTACTATAGATGGAAATATCAATATTGATACACATATGCAAAACCCAAAAATTATTTGGCCATTGGTTGCAAATATGCAAGTTTTTCTTTGTTATCTTTTCAGAATCGCAGCTCGAATTTCATGCAGAATCAAGGAGCTACAAGATCTTCCTGCAACAATGCCAGAAGATATGAAAACCAAAGCCATGATTGAACTGAGGGCCTTAAGACTTCTGAATTTCCAAAGACAGGTAAAAAAAAAATCATTAAAAGAATTACATGTATATAAAATAATGTAGTGATTAATGAGTACTGCAAATTTTCATGGAGTAAAGAAAAATTCCTGTATTTATTTAACATAGCTGAGAAGTGAAGTTGTTTCCTGTATGCGAAAAGATACCACACTGGAGACTGCTTTGAATACAAAAGCTTACAAGCGGAACAAGAGACATTCTTTACGTGAAGCAAGAGTCACAGAAAAACTGGAGAAACAACAGAAGATTGAGCAGGAGAGAAAGAGAAGGGCTAAACACCAGGTTAGATGTAGAGAGAATAGGACTTGTGAAATGCTATAGTTATAAATATGAGTAATGTTATGTATAACTATGATATTGCAGATAGAAAATAAGAACTTGGTTATAATTCAAAAAGATTTTTTACTTGTAGTAAGATGATATGTATGTTAAACTTGATGCTACAATAACTTGTGTTTGTATAGGAATATCTAAATGCTGTTCTTCAACATGCTAAAGACTTCAAAGAGTTTCATCGCAATGTCACTAACAAGATAGGAAAACTTAACAAGGCTATGATGGTACATCATGCAAACACTGAACGTGAACAAAAGAAAGAGCAGGAACGTCTGGAGAAAGAACGTATGAGAAGACTCATGGTAAGAAACATCTTCTAATGATAACTCTTCTTTGAATTGCAACAAAAGAAATTCAATGATGTAAAAATCAAAGAAAGTGCAAAGTTTTTGCTTGAATAAGTCAATTTAATAATTAAGTTGTACCCAGTATATAATTGATATTTGTTTTTCCCACAGGCTGAAGATGAAGAAGGTTACAGGAAGTTGATTGACCAGAAGAAAGACAAACGTCTTGCCTATCTGCTGGCTCAGACAGATGAATACATCTCTAACTTGATGACTTTGGTGGCTGAACACAAGGAGGATCTAAAGAAGAAAAAGCAAAAGCGTCGTAAGAAGAAGAAGGATGAAAAACTGGAGGTATTTTAACTGTTCTATTAAATATACTTCTTTATTGCTGGATATACACTGCAGGATAAAACATTTGCATGAATATAAAAAAAATCCATAATAGCATCTTAAAGTATGCATAGAAGTATCTTTTAGCAGATTAGAGACTAGAGTGCTCAATTTATTTTAAGAGAAAACTTTTGACACAATGTCTGATTTTGCAGGATGGTGATTCTAACATGAGTGAGATCAGAGTATCTGTAATTGAGACATCCACAGGGAGAGTTCTAACTGGTGATGAGGCTCCACTTGCAAGTCAACTGGAGGCCTGGCTGGAATTAAATCCAGGGTACAATATACAATATACACAACTAATCTGATGAAAAACCATTGGAGTAGCAAGGACAAAAGTTACATGAAAGCTTCCTCATGTAGTATAGATTCATGTAGTTGTTGCACCTTGGTGACACAGCATTTAGAAAACATTACAGTGATTAAAAATATTCTAACAAGACAACTTGTTCTTAGAAATATTTATTTTATTGAATTTACATTGCATTACATGTATTTCTTAGAACAACTTAACAAAACAAGGAATTTTTTGTATCCAAATAGAACTTGGACACACAAATCTGTTTAGTGAATAAGCCCAACTGTAAATGAATTTCAACATGTATCCTCAGAGACTAGGGTAGGGCTGCAATTGGGAAACCAGGTTAAATACAGAAAAACAAGAACAAGATTTTTTGAAGTTGTGATGAACCCTCAATATACTATTATTTTAAATTGTTGCTTGAAATCAGAGACTTTCATTTAGTGACCACAATAAGAGGTTTCATTTATTTACTTGTCCATCAAATGGTGACTCTGAAGAGCATTGTACTCCTTTATTGTTATATAATGATTTCTTAAAATTAACTCCCAAGAGTAGAAATGTTGTGATGCAAAGCATGGCAAACATTCATTTGACTTTTTCTTAAACAAAAATATTCATTTAGATAAAAACAGGATTCTTGCAATAAATTGTATAATGCCATGTACACATGTATGTGCTGTTTAACAGATATGAGGTGGCCCCTCGAGATGATGGAGAGGAATCTGGGTCAGAAGAAGAGGAGGAGGAGGTGAGGGATTATAGAAATCAACAGCCAAGTTATTTGTGTATATTTGAAACATCTTGATACAAACAAACTCAGATTTATAACTTATGTTTAAAACTGGTTATTTTAGGCTGAACAGGAGGAAGTGATACCAGCAAAGCCAGAAAAAACTTTACCCAAGGTACTGTATTTTGTGTGCAGAATGTGGAAAAATTGGGGTTTTTTTTTACCAGACTTTATTTACTTATTTCGGAGTATATTGGAATAATACTTAAACTCATTCAAATATAACTTACAGTAATGTTTCAAAATTATGCATCCTAATTGTGATGTTATATAAAGATTATACTTGGTGATTAATGACACTTTACATGTCCTATGGTAGAAGGTAACATTAAACTGAGAGTTTTTATTACAGCTCACTAGCCCTGATGACATTGATGAAGGCTTGGCTCAGGAAGTGATAAAGTAAGAAGTAAAGTCTTGAATATTATTGTCAGTTCATTTTTTTTAGTTTTTCTTACGGAAAGTATTGCTAAATGTGATGGTTAAGATACGTGTTAATCAAAAGTTAAGTTTTTCCTTTGAGAGCAAAATATAACATGGAAGGGATTTTTTCTAGTCAAGCCTCCAAAGAAGTGGACGATGAATACCACCGCAATGCCACCAAGACAGAGGAAAAGAGTTACTACGGAGTGGCTCATACGGTTCATGAACATGTTACAGAACAGGCAACCATCATGGTGAATGGCAAACTGAAGGAATACCAGGTATCATGTCTTGTAGATATTTTGATTTGTCATCCTTCTGCCAGCAGCAACTAAAAAATTAACTTTAAAGATTGCTTCATGAAATAATTTATAATGTACGAAAATGTGTATATACATGTATTTATTTAAGTTCATTGCTAGGAGTGGCTCCTAAAAAAAAAGATATTTTTTATACAGTAGCAAAATATATAAATTATGCCTTTTGATATTTTTAAAAATCAGATTAAAGGGTTGGAATGGTTGGTTTCCCTGTATAACAATCATTTGAATGGAATCTTGGCTGATGAAATGGGTTTGGGAAAGACTATTCAGACAATTGGTCTCATCACCTATCTAATGGAAAAGAAGAAAGTCAATGGACCCTTCCTGATCATTGTGCCACTATCGTGAGTTAAAGCCCCAAGAATTCTGTTTTATTTCTAGTACCCATATGAATTCATATAGAATTGAACTTCAATGAAAGTGTCACTGGGTGATTTGAAATTTTTTATTAATGATTTTGCAGAACATTATCAAACTGGGTTTTGGAGTTTGAAAAATGGGCCCCTTCTGTGATCAAAATTGCTTACAAGGGATCTCCTACCACAAGACGCATGATAGCACCTCAGCTTAAAGCTGCCAAGTTTAATGTGCTTTTGACTACATATGAATACATCATAAAAGACAAGGCTGCATTGTCAAAGGTATTGTTAAAAACTGTTTTGTAGTTGAGTTGAAAACTTGTATCCTACTAATTTACTACACCATTTTGTTATACCATTGCACTGTCATGGACAGTGTTCATTACCCTCATGTTATCTTGGCAGTTAAGATGGAGGTACATGATCATTGATGAGGGACATCGTATGAAGAATCACCATTGTAAGCTGACCCAGGTGTTGAACACCCATTACAGTGCTCCCCATCGTCTCCTCCTGACTGGAACTCCTCTACAGGTCTGAAGCTTTACAGTGGCTTTACATCTTGCTGAGCTTCTTATAGATTTTCATTTATTTATCATTTTTTATCTCCTTACTGTCAGATTTTACATTGATTTGTTTTCTACTATACAGAACAAATTGCCAGAGTTGTGGGCCTTGCTAAATTTTCTACTGCCAAGCATCTTCAAATCTTGTTCCACATTTGAACAGTGGTTTAATGCTCCATTTGCCATGACTGGAGAAAAGGTAACAGTCAGTCATGATTGCTTTTGATTCAAGTTAAAGAAAAAGCGATAATCTAGTTCCATAGTGATTTTGTCTTCTTTTGTGAAATTTCTGGGATTCTTATTCATATTATTCATGTTTCAGGTGGAGCTGAATCAGGAAGAGACTTTGTTGATTATTCGTCGCTTGCACAAGGTGCTGAGACCTTTCTTGCTTCGTCGTCTCAAAAAAGAAGTGGAGTCACAACTTCCTGACAAGGTAAAAAATTGAATATATTCTTAAACAACTAACATGAAAGATGAGTTATAACATATTATAGAAAAAGCTGGAATTCTCCTTACTTTGTTTGCTATCTGAATCCTACTTTTGTTACAGGTTGAGTATGTCATCAAGTGTGAGATGTCTGCTCTCCAGAGATGTGTGTACAGACACATGCAGGCCAAGGGAATTCTTCTTACTGATGGATCAGAAAAGGACAAGAAGGTATCATTTCTTTCAAAAAGAGTATGAATAGGTAAATAAAACATGCTTTGAGTGGGGATCTTTATAGAAATTGGTCGGTCATTTCTTTGTGGGAGGTAAGAATACCTGAAAGGTTGCTATGATAAATCATTATGCAATGGTCTAGAGTCAGTAGTAAGATATTGGTTCTAAGAGCTAAGTCTTCTATTAATGCCTTATTGTAGGGCCGTGGTGGGTCTAAAGCTATGATGAACACTATAATGCAGCTGAGGAAGATTTGTAATCATCCTTTTATTTTCCAACATTTGGAGGAGGCCATAGCAGAGCATCAAGGAGGCACAGGTGCCTCTGTCAGTGGGTAAGAAAAGTTCATTGCTTCTTCTTAAATATTATTTTCATGAAAACAGTTTTATTTGTTGACTATGTTAGTGTTGATTTTATATTGCATCATTAACTTTTGTTAAAAAAAAAAATTTTAAGACCTGACTTGTATCGAACTGCTGGAAAGTTTGAATTCTTGGACCGTGTCCTGCCAAAACTGAAGACTCTACACCACCGTGTCCTGCTCTTCTGTCAAATGACATCACTGATGAGCATCTTGGAGGATTACTTCTTGTACAGAGGTATGTGACCAGTGAAGTCATTCACATTCACGTGTTTTATTCTGTACTGTAGTATTCCTATCTATCAATCTTCTTTTTGTGACACAGGGTATAGATACCTGCGTTTGGATGGAACCACTAAGTCTGAGGATCGTGGACAGTTGTTGGAACTTTTTAACCAGAAGGATTCCCCCTATTTTGTGTTCCTTCTCAGTACTAGAGCTGGAGGATTGGGTCTAAATCTCCAGGCTGCTGACACTGTCATTATTTATGACTCAGACTGGAACCCTCACCAGGTACAACTGTACATTTCAAGAATGTGTTTGAAATTGCAGATTATTTTTGGCCCTACTTCATTTAAAGACATACGCAACATAGTTTGAATTTTATTGTGTTTTTCTCTGGAGTTGAAGAGTTCCGATACTTAAAGGAAGTGTGTGCTACATTTTAATGTCTATATATGCTGTTGTACACTTCTTCTAAAACAAGTCTGGAAGAAAATATCATTTATAATATATGTTTAGTAGTTTTTATATATTTTTCTTTGAATTATACAAGAATTTTCATCATTTGTATCTTTTCAAAACCCCTGATAATGCATGCTGATTTTTTGTCTATGAACATCTGATGGCTCTATAATCTTAAATTAAGAATATCTTGGAAAATTATCAGTGGCTAAGGTACATTGCGTATGTCCTTAATTTTATTTGACTGTTATTTCTAAGATTCTAGCTTCTGACTGAAATGGTCTACTATTTGTACTTCAGGTCTTCAGCAATAAATATTATAAAAAGTATCATACACATTTATGAAGTGATTTGAAAGTTTCCTTGTTTTATTAGGATCTTCAAGCCCAGGACAGAGCCCATAGAATTGGCCAGAAGAATGAAGTCCGGGTGCTGCGTCTGATGACGGTGAACTCTGTGGAAGAAAAGATCTTGGCTGCTGCCCGCTACAAACTGAATGTGGACGAAAAGGTCATCCAGGCTGGTATGTTTGACCAGAAGTCCAGGGGATATGAGCGCCAGCAGTTCTTACAGTCCATTCTGGAGCAGGAAAATGAGGAAGTGGAGGTCAGTACAGGTGTTTCAGATAAAATGAGAAAGATATAAAAAGTTGGTGAAAGTGGGGATGTCAAAATTGACCTGATGGTTTTCAGTCTACTACATGTTATTGAGGGCTATAAACAAGTGTTGCGAAGTGTACAAAATGTTAATGACTACAGATAATGATAGGGCAGGGATAGACATTAACTTTCAGATTCATTTGCCCTTCGGGCAAGTGATCTCGAACTTTGACTTGTCCGAATGCAAAACTTTGTTGCCCAGAATTAGGAAAGAACTTTTGAAAAGAAGAAAATTATTAATTACTGTAAATTTTATTATAACAAAAATGTGACCAAATACAGTACTGTTAATTTGGCAAGTTGAGCTACCTGAAAAAAAAAAAAACTTTTGGTGCTGCATCTGTACATAAATATATACCACTGTACTTGTGAATTTAACCTTTTAACACACACTTCAATGCAGCAATAACCTTCCGTTTCCTTTTCATGAAATTTATATTTTAAAAAAATTATTTTGGTAGGATCCTTTTGTGAATCGTGACTTCCGGAGATAACTGTGAAGCAACGTTAAAGGAAGATAGTTGCTACGAAACATACATCTTATCTTGATCAGGATAGATCGTGTTACACTGAACTTATATTCCGTGCGTGAATAAATAATCTAATTTCCTAATAAGAAGTTAACAAAATTTTGTTAGACGTAGAGCGTATTTACTACGAAAGAAAATAACTAACCCGAATTTTTAAATGAACGGTATAACCCAGAAACGCTACCAAGGAATTCCTAATGCAAAAACATTGTCAACCAGGTGCGTGTGGATATCAGCGTTCAATTAATTGTGTTATTTATAAATTAATGTAAACTAAATAAATATGTACATTTGTATGAGAACCAGAAGTCTCTGATGAGACTGTAGCTCTACTGGTCTGTTTGTATAACAAAAGAAAAGTAGCACTTGGATTTGAAACATTGCAACATGCAACAATAAATAGAATTATGTATCTTAAAGTAGTCTACTTCTGTGCCAAGTTATATTGAAATCAAATGAAAACTGTAGGAGGAGTAGCGTTTTGAAAGTATTTCACGGAAATTTCTATTTTTAGTAACCATGACAACACCATTCACCCAAATAAAAAAAAACAGAAATACATATTATGTATAGTAGTGTATTCTAACTGTGTGCCAAATTAGATTGAAATCAGACCAAAATTGTAGGAGGAGTAACGTTTAATGGGAATTTCACAAAAATTTCTACTTTAAGTAACCATGGCAACACTGTTCATCAAATTCAAAAACCAATCCAATAAATTATGTATCTTAGTATAGTCTCCTTGTATGCCTAATTATATTAAAAGCAGACTAAAACTGTAGCAGGAGTAGTGTTTTAAAGGAATTTCACAGAAATTTCTATTTTTAGTAACCATGGCAACACCGTCCATCGAAATCAAAAACCGATGCACTAAATTATGTATCTTAGTGTAGTCTACCTGTGTGCCAAGTTATATTGAAATCGGACCAAAACTGTAGGAGGAGTAGCATTTTGAAGGAATTACACAGAAATTTCTATTTTTAGTAACCATGGCAACACCGTCCATGGAAATCAAAAACCTATGCACTAAATTATGTATCTTAGTGTTGTCTACTTGTAAGCCAAGTTATATTGAAATTGGACGAAAACTGTAGGAGAAGTAGCGTTTTAAAGGAATTTCACAGAAATTTCTATTTTTAGTAACCATGGCAACACCGTCCATCAAAATCAAAAACCGATGCACTAAATTATGTATCTTAGTGTAGTCTACTTGTGTGCCAAGTTATATTGAATTGGATCAAAACTGTAGGAGGAGTAGCGTTTTAAAGGAATTTCACAGAAATTTCTATTTTTAGTAACCATGGCAACACTGTCCATCAAAATCAAAAACCGATGCATTAAATTATGTATCTTAGTGTAGTCTACTTGTGTGCCAAGTTATATTGAAATCGGACCAAAACTGTAGGAGGAGTAGCGTTTTAAAGGAATTTCACAGAAATTTCTATTTTTAGTAACCATGGCAACACCGTCCATCGAAATCAAAAACCGATGCACTAAATTATGTATCTTAGTGTAGTCTACTTGTGTGCCAAGTTATATTGAAATCGGACCAAAACTGTAGGAGGAGTAGCGTTTTAAAGGAATTTCACAGAAATTTCTATTTTTAGTAACCATGGCAACACCGTCCATCGAAATCAAAAACCGATGCACTAAATTATGTATCTTAGTGTAGTCTACTTGTGTGCCAAGTTATATTGAAATCGGACCAAAACTGTAGGAGGAGTAGCATTTTAAAGGAATTTCACAGAAATTTCTATTTTTAGTAACCATGGCAACACTGTCCATCGAAATCAAAAACCGATGCACTAAATTATGTATCTTAGTGTAGTCTACTTGTGTGCCATGTTGTATTGAAATCGGACCAAAACTATAGGAGGAGTAGCGTTTTGAAAAATTGTTTACAGACAGACGGACAGACAGACGGACGGACGACGGACACCTTACTATCGCATAAGCTCTTCTGGTCTCTGACCAGTAGAGCTAAAAATTCACTTGTCCGATCGGACAAGCACGTCGACAATTTCACTTGCCCGAACTGAGAATTTACTTGTCCCGGGCAATCGGACAACCGTTAGTGTCGATCCCTGTAGGGTAGAATTGTGTATTCATTGTATTCAATAAATATTTCACTCATCTAAGCTGAAAGCTTTTGAGCCTTTCGGATCAAAGTTTGGCTGTTGTAAACTGTATCCATTTTTTGATTTCCCAAGAACCACAAGGCCAATTTCAACCAAACATCTTTGAGAAAAAGGAAATCAAAGAGCTAGGTTCACGTTATGCATAAAATGGCCCTGTAGATATACCAATTTATTGACTAACACCTTATGTTCCATTTCAAACATCAAGATATAGTAGAGACTTAGTGCTTTCATTTCGTATTCAAATTTTTCTCCTTAAAGTCCAGGTCTTGGAAAACAAGCTTTATGGAATTGCAATATTCTTTAATTTTAAGGAAAACAGGTATATTTAAGTACTTTCAGAGAAGAAAAATAATATGAGCTCACCCTCTGATCTAAAAAATAAAACATGTTTTGTAATCCTTAGAAATGGTTCTATCAGTAAATAATTGCATATTTTAGATCAGAGATTGCGCTCTATATTAAATATCGAAAAATAGCTTTAAAAATTGGCTGTTTTGTAGAATTGTTCAGGATATGAGGAAAATGACGCACTGACGTCATAATGCATTGACTAGCCAGAAAATTACGTCATTTTTGGTAGATTCGCAATCGCCAAAGGCCTAAATGAAATTTAATGCATTGTCAACTAAAAAGAAGCAGTTTCAGTTTTTCAGAAATTTACAGGGCCAAAAAAGGCCCTAAGTGAACCTTGTTCTTTGATCAAATGGAGGGTTACACCTTTATTCAAGGAGAGATCCTTAAAAAAAAACAACAACAAACAAACAAAAAAAAGAAAAGAAAATATGGTGGGGTCATTGATATGGTGTGGTAATTTATAAATCAAATTTATTTTTTATTATATATTTTTCCTATTTTTCTGCATTTTAGGAAGAGGATGAGGTTCCTGACGATGAGACTATCAATCAGATGTTGGCAAGAACTGAGGAAGAATTTGATGTCTACCAGGTAATGTCACAACACTGTGCCATTTTATATACATATAACTAGTACTTTCTTGTTTTGATGTCATTTTTGGTTTAAATATCTTTTTTTTTCTCTATTATAGAAAATGGACATTGAGAGAAGAAGAGAGGAAGCCAGAAATCCGAATCGCAAGCCCAGATTGATGGAGGAAGATGAACTACCAACATGGATTCTTAAAGATGAAAAAGAGGTCCTTATTATATGTTAAGATTGAAAAAGTTTGAATACTTATTTGACAATATACATGTAGGTCTCAGTATCAGGTTAAAAATTAATTGCCAGCAAGGTTTAATAAGTTTTTTTTTCACTGTTTTAGGTGGAGAGGTTGACCTATGAAGAAGAGGAAGATAAATTATTTGGAAGGGGATCAAGACAGAGAAAGGAAGTGGATTATTCTGATTCTCTCACAGAAAAACAATGGATCAAGGTAAGATTTTTTTTTCTATATACAGCTATCATACAGATAGAAGTGTCTCTAATTTTTAGGTCACCTGAGTCACTCAGGTGACCTGTTGCAATCTGTTTTCATCCGTCGTTGTGCAGGTGTGCATTGTGCGGGTGTGCGTCGTGCGTAAACTTTTCACATTTTCGACTTCTTTTCAAGAACCACTGGGCCAATTTCAACCAAACTTGCCACAAAGTATCCTTGGGTAACGGTGATTCAAGTTTGTTCAAATGAAGGGCCAAGCCTTTTTCCAAGGGGAGATAATTAAGAATTAGTGAAAAATTAATGGCATCTTTTAAAAATCTTCTTCTCCAGAACCACTGGGCCAAGAAAGATGAAACTTATGTGCAAACATCCTCAGGTCATGTAGATTCAATTTTGTTCAAATCATGACCCACGGGGGTAGGATGGGGCCACAATGGATGATCAAAGTTTTACATAGGAATACATAGGAAAAATCTTTAAAAGTCTTCTTCTCCAGTATCACTGGGCCAAGAAAGATGAAACTTGCGTGCAAAAATCCTCAGGTAGTGTAGATTCAAGTTTGTTCAAATCATGACCCCCTGGGGTAGGGCGAGGCCACAATCAATGATCAAAATTTTACATGGAAATACATTGGAAAAATCTTCTTATCCAGAACTACTAGGCCAAGAAAGATGTAACTTATGTGGAAACATCTTCAGGTAGTGTAGATTCAAGTTAACTTTTTTAAATCATGATCCCTGGGGGTAGGGTAGGGTCACAATGGACAATGAAAGTTTTACATTGGAATATAGGATTAAAATCTTGAAAAAATTCTTTTCTCAAAAACAGCAAAACCATGATTGGTCATATCTATATGGAAGCATCCTCAGATAGTATAAATTCAAGTTTGTTCAAATCATGACTCTGGGGATAGAGTGGGGCCACAATGGATGATGAAAGATTTACACATGAATACAAATGAAAAATCTTTAACAATCTTCTTCTCAAGAATAGCAAAGCCATGATTTGTCTTATTTATGTGCAAGCATCTTTGGGTAATGTTAATTCAAATTTGTTCATATCTTGACCCCCTGGGGTAGGGAGGGGGCACAACAGATGATTAAAGTTTTTAGTTAGGAATTTATAGGAAAGATCATTTAAAAATCTTCTCAAAAACAACAAAACCATGATAAGTCATTTTAATATAATTTAATTTTGGTTGTAACACATCATTTGATTGGATGAAAAAATTAATTTATATAGTACAATGTATAACCTGGTTTTTTTTCTGCAGCTTTAAATTTATATTTCATGGATCCTCTATGGATTGTTGTTTTATACTCAGGTGACCATTAAGGCCCTTGGGCCTCTTGTTAATCTGATTTCATGTTGTTTGTATGTATTAGAAGGTTAACTTTGTGTTATAATTTTGCAGGCTATTGAAGAAGGTAATTTGGATGAGGTAGAACAGGTGAAGCAGAAAGTCAAGAAACCTAGAAAGAGGAAGGCTGAGAAAGAAGAGGAAGCTAAACCGAAGAAGAGACGTGGTCGTCCTCCTGTGGAAAAATTACCCCCCAACCCACGCAAACTGACTTCTGTCATGAAGAAAATTCTGGATGTTGTCTTGAACTACAAAGATAGGTTGGTTTGAGTTCTTTAGTAAAGATCTCGTTTTTCAGAATTTATTTGTCAGCCTGTGTATTGTCAGCTTGGTAATAATTTTGTTTGTGAAACAGGAATTCTCAAAGTTTGATACAGTTAACAGTTGTACATTTACAATAATTTATTTTTATTATCAGGGATGACAGAGTTCTGAGTGAAGCGTTCTTCCAATTACCATCAAAGAAAGACTTGCCAGAGTACTATGAGATCATAGCAAAGCCTGTTGATTTCAAGAAAATCAAAGTTAGTTGGCATTTCATGCTCTTTCTCTCTGTCTAATGTGGGAGATTTGATAATGTCCTATTCTTCCCAACTGAACCAAACTGGACTTAATTCACGAGAGAAACTGTAAATATATTATTTCTGTTCCAGCAAAGAATCCGGGATCATAGATACCGAAGTGTGGATGATCTGGAGACTGATGTCATGCTGTTGTGTGAGAATGCACAGTCTTACAACATTGAAGGCTCACTGGTTAGTAAATACAGTGTATCTTACTTGAGTAGTTTAACTTGTACAACAGAAATTCTATACCAAAATTAATTGTAGATTAATCATTAAAACAAAAAATTATATTTCCTTTCTGCATTTAGATTTATGAAGACTCAATAGTTCTGAAGTCGGTGTTTACCAGTGCAAGGGAAAGATTGGAGAAAGAAGGTGTGACCTACTCAGATGATAACAGCAGTAGTAATGAGGAGGAAGAAGGGGAGGAGGAGGAAGGAAAAGAAGAAGAGGAAGAAGAGGAGGAGGATGAGGAAGGTAAGGATAGATGCTTCATAGTTCTTTGTTGACAGTATTCTGTATCTGAGCCCCAGTGTGGCTGTTAAACTAAATGTAGAAATAAAATTCACTGTGTAGTTCAACATAGAAAAAGATTATTTATATCAATACATGTATTTATCGAGGAAAAATTGTTTTACAGGACATTCTTCCAGCAAGAAACACAAGAGAGATAGGAGCAAAAAGGTACATGTACAATATCTTCAAAAGCATTAAATTTCCATCCATTACATGTATTTTGATTAGAGATTTATTTGAAATTTTTGTCTGCTGTCAAAGGAATTTTCAACCGTGGTGGGGGCCTAATATGGCTAATTGTTTGGAAGGATTTCAAATGAACAGAAGGATCTCCCTTGTGTTACAAAGCATAAAACAGTTTATTTGGAATTTAAAATACTGGAAAATTCATTATTTTTCATGGGGGGGGGGGGGGGGAGGGAGGGAGGGGGCATTGTTTTTTTTTTTAAAGAAAAATAATAGGGCAGGAGATTGAATAGCTGAAAATTCTTAGGGATATTTGAGGATTTCACAGATTATTATTAAGTAGTTTAAATGATGATAGTGATGAATAATTAGTAGAGGGTAGATCCTGAATTAGTATTTGAAATGTATGAAAAAGAAAAAAGATAAATGGAATTTGACATTTGATTGCTTGATAAGATCAATCCAGAATATATTATACACTTTATCTATGTTAACCTGTAGGAAACTACATATAATATTTAAATTTTTTCTTTATATATATAATTTACATGTATTCACAGAAAAAGGAGAAGGCAGAAAGTTCCAAAAAGAGAAAGTCTCGCTCCAAGGCCAAGCCTGTGATCAGTGATGAAGATGATGAGACTGATGAGGTTAGATATGAATGTGTTAGAAGAAATCCCTAGCACTTTTCTACAATCATCAGTAATTACTAGGGAGGGCAATTTGTAACCGGTTAACCAATTACTCGGTCGGAACGATGGCAATCGGTTAGAAAATCTCTAATCGGTTAGTCGGAAAAATAAAAAATATATAAATTTGAACCTAATTTTGTTAAAATTTATTTTTTTGAAAAAAAGAGATCTTAGCATAAACGTTGATAATTCAGTGTCTTCACATAAACAAGCTGATTGGATGTAATTATGGTTCTCCGGATTGAGATTGTAGGGTAATTGGTCATTTTGTGTTTGAAGTGTAAATTACTGTTAAAACACCATCGTGTCGTTACCGTGACTGTCCTTGTATTTCTTTAATGATAATTAAATCACCGTTGGGAACTGCGAATTAGTATGTTTGTTTTTTGCAGTTATCTATCGAATAAATTACTACACAAACTTTGTAAATTAAGTGATGTATTTCAGACTTAGTTTTAATTATGGTGACAATGCTGAATGAACGTATGTGAAATCTGCTTTGGAAAAATATCAATGATTTCTCAGCCATGATTCGTGGTTTTCTTAATTTTTTCCAGTTTACATTGAAACTGAAATAAAATATAGAAGCATGTGTTTTTTTTAAAATCAAGAATCAAGACAAATAAAATGATTTAACATCTAGACTCTATCAGTTTTCTTGTGTATATGAATAGAGCTACTTGGGAAAAAAGTATGTACATCAAGAAAATGCGTATTTTGATCCGGTTAAACGGTTAATCGGTTGGAACGTCTTGCGGTTAATCGATTAGCAATTCTGTATTCGATTGCCATCCCTAGTAATTACCATAACAAAGTTGTAAAAATTTACTATAACACAGATTAAAATGTGCTGAATTTGTGTAGTACTTCCCAGCTAAAAAGTGTACCGTCTAGCACTAAAAATTTTACTCCTTCAAATGAAGCATTTGAACAAAGACGAAAAAAGCAACCTTAAAATAAGCTTTTGTGTCTAAGTTAATACACATGTACCTTGCATGGTATTTTAAGAATATTCATAAGTTAAGGTGAACTTAACTACATTTCTGTTTGTAGAATAAGTTGCTGAAAAGTTGTAAAATTTACTTTCATGTTCCTTTGTAGGACTTTGAATGAGTGAATGGTCATTGGCAGGAAGATGATGAACACCCAGATACTGAATGATTTTGGATTCATTTGATATTCAGTGCAGACAGATAAAACTTTTTGTTTTGAAAAAAAAATATTGTACAGCTGTGTTCAGTGTAATCAAATGTCATTAATGTAGTGATAGTTGTTATTGATTCAGTGCAATGATTCTGTAAATAAAGTGTAGTGTATACATAAAGCTATTTCACTTGTACTTTGATATCATACATGTAAATGAATAACTGAGGTGACCTCCTGCTATCTGTTCTGGTCTATTGTATTCCCCAATCCTGAGGCCTAACAATAAATATTAAAGGAGTCTTCAAAAATCTTTTTCTTCATTACTAGAGACCTAGCAGGCAAACTGAATGATTGATAACAATGAGCAGTTAGCCCCCTAATTTATCCTTATGTCCAAGACCAGGTTCAGACTAATTTAATGCATTACCAGGGAATCATTACCAAAAAATTGTCACGTGGGTGTAGTTCAAGGTGGGGTTGAGAAACCTGTGATACCCGGGTAGCAATCATGGACTGTAGGCTTTGCAAAGGTCGGAGAATTTGCCACTACAGCAAACATGCATTAATTTAAAGAAAACCTCTTAAGCTGCTGAAAGGTATTTTGGTGTTTTGCAAAGAACACTCATATTGCCTGCAAACAGGAACATTGCTGATTAAAAATTGATTTTTTTTCCTCTTTGAAAAGCAGATCAAAGTTCATGATTTGGTTTTTATCCTATACTTGGAAAGATGAAGCCCAAGGGCCTTAACGGTCACCTGAGTACAACAATTTAGAGGATCCATAAACTGATAAATGAAGCTTTGTTGTCCAAAAGCAAGAAAAATAGTATGATTAAGATCAACAAAATAATTGGTCTAGTATCTATCTATCTCTCCCCCATTTATCACTATTACCATGCAGACTTTTAACAAAATATCTATTTTTAACCCCTTATTATTACCTCTCACATTGGCCTCACTTGGCCTTTGAAGAACATTTAAAAAGATAAGTTATTTTTTGTTTCATTTTTATTCATCTATTATTTCCAAGTCTACCTGATCATTAAAACTATGAAAGTACTTTTTGTATTATACAATTAATGTTCTTGCATAATTCTCTTATTTTATTAACCTTTCAAATACTTTATCTACAGTGATTAATTATCAAAGGAATAGAGCCCTGGCCAGGACCAGAACACTTGACTAAATGGTCCAGATGTTCAAAATTCTGGTAAAAATACCCTTGCTTATTAAAACTTTTACTCTGTTTGCCTCCAATATGCCCAGGAGCAGAGAAGATTTTCAAAGAAATAATGCATTTTCACTATTTAACACAGCCCTACCCCAACACCAGAACCCATGACCCAGGGTTATGAAATTTACAAATCTGGAAGAGGTACCCTCATCATCATAACTATGCAATTAGTTAAAGATTTTAAAAGAATTCACACATTTTCACTATATTATCAATAACCCCCCCCCCCCCCCATCAGAAAAACAACAGAACCCCTGGGACCAAAGTGTTAAAAATTTTGTAAAAGCATCCTTGCTCATCATAACTATACACTTGTTTCTTTGCTTTATAACCAGGAGTAGAAAAAAAATATTTTGAAAGAAATTATGAATTTTCACTATATAATCAATAGAGCCCCCCCCCCCCCCTCCTCACCAGAACCCCTGACCCTGGGGCCATGAATTTCACAATTTTGGAAGAGGCATTCTTGCATATCATAACCATGCACTTCCCTTGTTTAAATAATACCCAGGAGCAGAGAAGATTTTCAAAGAATTGATGCATTTTCACTATATAATCAAGAGCCCCGCCCTAACACCAGAACCACTGACCCTGGGGCCATGAAATTCACAAATTTGGAAGAGGCATTCTCATTCATTATAACTATGTACTTAGTTTATTTCATACCCAGGAGCAGAGAATAAAAGAATAAAAGATTTCAAAGAATTAATGCATTTTCACTATATACATGTACATGTAATCAATAGAGCCCCGCCCTAACACCAGAACCCCTGACCCAGGGGCCATGAAATTCACAATTTTGGAAGAGGCATTTTTGCTTATCATAACTATGTACTTAGTTTATTTAAAACCCAGGAGCAGAGAAGAAGATTTTCAAAGAAATAATGCACTTTTACTATATGATCTATATAGCCCCACCCTAGCCCCAGAACCCCTAACCCTGGGGCCATGAATTTCACAATTTTGGTAGAGGGCTCAATGCTTATTACAATCATGCCAACAGTTTGACTGCTTGATGTCCAGGAGTAAAGAAGAAGATGTTTAAAGATTGCATTAATTTTAGTGGTTTTTGCCCCACCCCTCAGGCCCCAGGGGGGCAGGGACCCTGAAATTCAAAAATTTTGTCCCCCTTCACCCATAGATGCTATATGCCAAACTTGGTTGAAATTGATTGAGCGGTTTCAGAGAAGAAGCTGAAAATGTTCAAATGTTAACGCACGTCTCACGACAACAGATGAAAACGGATAGCAATAGGTCACCTGAGTAAACTCAGGTGACCTAAAAAGTGGTCATTATTCTCCATGGGTCTTGCATTAGTGTAATAAATACTGGTATTGAATCCCAATTTTTTGCTGTTAAAATACAGAGAAAGTATGCTTGTCATGTTCAAGGTCACATTGAGCCTAGCACTTGCAAGAAGTCTATTAACATGAATGTCATCTAAAAATTCAAAGAAGAGACCAAACCAATTCAACATAAGTAGGTCAAATGAAAAGAGGGCAAGTCATTTTCCTCATATTTTTAAAACATGTTTGGGACAGACTGTCCTTTCAAAGTTGAAAAGACACAGTTTATACATGTATGGTATATTTTATCAAGTATGTCAAAAGCCTTATATGAAGAATTATCCATCTTGAAATTTCACTGGTCGAGAATACTGTATTACCATATAATGCACTTGTTAACATGATGTCAATATAAACCCTCTATGTTCCCTGCAGACCAAATAGCAAATTCTCTATGTTGTTTTCACTTGACCTCACAAGGAACCTAATACCATCGTGTAAGCATCAGACAATGTCACAATGTTGAAGCAATATGAGCTACAACTTTTATATCGGAAATTTTTGTGACTAACAATGTCAATGACAGAAAAAAATAACATTTATAAACTTCTGTTGTTCATATTTGCAATGGAAAAATTATTTAGAAGCTTTCATTGATGCAAAATTCCATTATTGTCGTCCTGTACAATATTGATTTCTTATATAATATTATACATTCAATTGTACAAAAACCTTTCTTCTGAACAAAATTAATACTTTATTTTAGTCTAATTGATAATAAAGGTTTAAATTAAATTACTGGCTGTGAAAGATTGACAGACATCTGGCAATGTGATTACTGTAAATCACTTTATTTGCCAGAACTTTATTTCATGTAATTACGTAAGACCATCTGCTCCCGAAAATTTTATATATTTTTATTACTGAAGATTACATACAACAATGACAAGGATTTGTGAAAATTCTGCCTCATTTATAAATACCAAAGAACTTCAGTGCAAAAATAAGGTTCGAGAAATTTGGTGATTTACAGTATCCAGTGTTGCTTTGCTTTGCAGGTGACATGGACCACAAACTGGATACTGAATGTGCATGATAAACTAAATAGGGCATCGATCTCTTTATAGTGAATATTTTCATTTACATATCAAAAATAAGTAATATGCTTAGAGAAAATTATTACTTGGGTTACAAAAGTGTATCCACTCTCTGAAAAGACATAAAAAATTATCCAAGATAAAGGTTTTCTGCAAGATTCAACAACTAATACACAAGCAATACAAAAAAAAAAGTACCGATATTTCTACAAAAAGCTTGAAATATCCATTTTTATGTACATTTTTATAAAAGAAAGTTTTGTCTTGTACATGAACAGTTTATGTCAAATGTTCTAACTAGATTAAGATTTTAACATAGGCCAATTATTATACACTATACTGGTATTTTTATAAAATTTTCAAGAGGCTTTCGATTGATTTTATTCCAGTACAATAAGGCTTTGACCTTTAAAACTGAGGCAAAATAATGAAATATTGGACAAAAAGATGAAGGTCCTCATCCATGTTCATATCCAGACCTATATAATAGTCTGTTCTCAGATAGCATCTTTTGTAAATTTGATGTTCAGTATGATAAATAATGATGTGCTGCTATATTGCTTGCATCACTCTAATAAAATATCCAGAATATACTGTAGACTTTTTTTGTGTTTATTTATCAAGAATTGTCCTGAACAACATCTGGTCGTATCGTAACAAACACCTCGTCGGTCGGGTCAGTCTCGTAAGATGGCTGCCCACGTCTCGTCTCCAGTGATTTTTTGGCCTGGATTCTGGACATGTATTTCTGGGCACCTTTCTTCCTCATCAAATGTCTCAGCTAGAAAACGATATCAATCACTGAACTCAATTGCAACACAATTTTGAAAAGTAAGGAACACGTTATTAAGACAATTTTATTTTATTTAAGCATCTGATTTAATCTCTTTTTTTACCATCCTGTGATCTATAATTAATCCATTAACCATGGTGCTACAATTCAAAATCTGTTCCTATTTTACAGCCATTACAAAGACTGATCAGACACTTCATGAGCAAGATCACTTACATCATTTGGAGATACATAATGGGGGTTCTGGTAAAGTGTGGCTCCTCCAAAGCTCCCCTCAAATATCCTGATAGGGTTCAAAACAAATCGGGGTCCTAAAAAAAGCATATCCAAATATTACATGTAATAGGAAATAGTGTTTCTTTGACCCTCATCATAAATCGCAAAGACTGTAGCAAATCATTATTCAGGGGAACAGTTTTCCATTTATAAATGGTAAATACATACATGTAGTTTTTAAATGTACAAACATACAAACACCATAGTTATTTAAGTTAAGGCTTTCTCTTGTCTTAAAAACCAAATGTGAAACTAACCGATCTCTGCTAAAGAGCCATCCTCCTCCAGGATCTGGTAATTTCTAAACCAGATCCGGTTGTCAGCTATGGAAAATGTGTAAACATGATCAAAAAATGGCTGGCTTTTGGGATGATGGTTTGGTGTGCTGAATATCTGCAATAAAATAACATTCATACACTGGTTTCCACCAACAAGTACACATTTATTTTTAGTCAAGATAGGAGATGAGAGATAAAAATAATTTCCTGACTCATACAAACCTGTATTAAAAGTTCTTTTAAGAGGCTCCAGTGTGGCTCTTTATCAAATTCCTGAAATGGGTTAAGTTTTTCTGTTCAGTTATCAAGTCCATATCCATTAATAAAAATGTTATTAACAATCTGTTCTAGTTGAATAAATTCTCATTTTTTATTTTTACCTGGTCAAATGAGAGTAAAGGTCTGGAGCCCTTCAGACAATTCCCTGTCATCTTCAACTCAGACATTGTGTGTACTGTTAAAATGATAATAATTTGCATGAAATTTCTACTTTATAAGTAGTTTCATTTTTGAAAAACCTTTAGATTTGTCATATACATAAATCAAATGTATCTTCTTACAGTTTTCTATCAGGAATTTGGCAGATGGGCCTCTTGGTACATTTGATAACCTGCAAAAATTTATAAAAAATCTCAATATTCTATTTTTAACCTCATACCGTATAGCGGGTTTTCTTGGCAGGTGTAAAATTTAGCGTTTTGCTTGGCTAAAGGTATGCCAATAATTTTGGCATAATTCATTTTCGCGAACACAGGGTTCCAACTCTTTGCAAAATAACACTAAGAAGAACACTGAATATTTTAGCTATCAAAATTTTAGCGGACTCCTACCAAAACGCCAAAATAAGCCAAAATTAACACCCCACTAAAATAACCCGCTATATGGTAATCCATTTACTTTTTTTCTTGAAACATTGATACATGTGTGCTCTTAAACAGAGCAATTACTATGTGGCACCATTACCACATGGAGTCATTACCACATGTAAAGATCCTGCTTCTTCTTTGCCTCCAGGTAAATACATTTTGAACAGTTTCTCATTTCACACATCTGTAAACATAAGTGTACCATAATTTAAAACATATGAAAGGTAAATCTGATAAATACATTATCTTCAAAAAAGTACCAGGTTATTTGTTTAGAAGAATTACAAATGAAAATACAAACAAATCTTTTTTAAAGCAAAATTAATGTAAATCTCAAAACACTTCAGAAACTAACCTCATTGATGACAAACAGCTGATCTTTCCTGTCCATTTTTGATTCTACAAATAAATAAGATTAACAGAGAATAAAATCATAAGGATAAGTGAATCAGTTGATTGCATTTCCTGATACAAACCTACCTATTAGTATGCTCATAAGGACCAATGTGTGCAAAATACTCAGTTAATATGCTTATTTATTATTCCTCTGTAACTTTGTTATGAGTGTAAATTTTAATACTAGTTGTATAAAACAAGAGATCCAGGAGCTACCATGCTCATCTGAGTAACATACACTTAGTGTAGCGATCTAGTTGGAGCAGATCAAAGATCTAATTTTAATTAGATTGGATTTTCTTACATCAAAAATCTTGCTAAGTATACACTACAACCATAATAGCAATGTGTTCCGATCACCCCTCCTAATTCTTCATGTATTAAAAAGAAATCTTCTATATAATTATTTCAATCACATGTAAATTCAATTGCAATTTAAAACACTAACCAGCTTTTGAGTGAGGCATAAGGGTCCGTAAATCATTCATCAAGTGACGGCCCCTGTATGAGATCCCTCGAGATGAAAATACAAGCACTCTTTCTTTGTTTGTCCACTTTGCCTGTTAAACCAAAATACAGTGATTATGCTTAGAAAGTCAAAGGACGGATATATTATCATATATCACTAATAAGTCAAAGAAATATTTACACTATACTATTAAGCCGGTGTATGAGAAAAGGGGTCTTATGACATAAAAATCACAAAATTGGGTTTCTACTGATTCTTTAAGAGGAAAACATAAGGAATAAGAATACTGTAGACATATATTTTTCCATGTGGGATTAATTTACACTATGTACACAGTCACAAATTTTCTCCACAACCATAGTTGGTGAGACCATGATACACCAAGGAAAATATAGTATCTGGGCCATGCAAATGTGTACCATCCAGTGCAAGTAGGGCTGAAACGATACACCCCCTCCACGATATGGTACGTATAGCGAAACTTGTGTCGCAATTCAATTTTTTCAATATGATACATTTTAAAAAAGAAACAAATTATAAGGTTAAAAAAAACATGTATTCAGATTTCAAAAGGCAGTAAAAGGTGGTGATACAATAAAGAACACTACTTGTGCTTCTGTAGATTAAAAGTGCACTTTGTAGATTAAAAGTGCACTTTGTTCGTGTCAGTACTAGCAGTGGCAGCCTGTTCAGAAACTTTCTCCGTCGCAATTTTCTCCCTCGTGTGTGTCAAACTATTAAAATGAGGTCGAACCCGATCTATTTCAAGGAGTAACCAAACCTGATTATAAAAAAACATACCGAACCGAAAATCGAGATAGTGAATCGAACATTGAACCGAGCAGTAATATTGAACAATATCAATATTTCGGTGAATCGTTTCAGCCCTAAGTGCAAGTATTTCATTTTCCTAGATCAAGTGTTACATTGCATAGGTTTGTCAGGCCAAATAAAAAAATATATGTGGTTCCGGTTACCCGACCGTCCCTATTTTATACCCCCTACCCTAAACTTTTTTTTGGCAATTTTCATATATTTTCCGGAATTTTCCCCGATTTCCATCAATAGCTCCGGTTTAAGTTTTAGTTTCAGCAATGACGGCCTCCTTGCAAAACATAGTGCAAGTGTTTAATAGTGTTAAATCCAAAGCAAGCTAGCATGTAGGTGTCCCCTACCAATATTGACTAGTATATTATCACAACACATCCAAATGCCACTTGCAAAGCAGTGATAGGTATTATTTAGAAAAATTAAGAAAATTATTTTGTTTAAAAAAAAAAATCCCTACCTACCTACCTACCCTAATTTTTTTGGAGGTGTAACCGGAACCACACATATTTTTTTGTTTGGCCTCATCAACTTGAAAACAAAATATGTGTACTTTCTTTTAAGTGAGAAAATATAGAGGACCTATCTGATCAGGGTGAAATAACTTTTTGGTAAATGGTTTGGATACTGAGTACCCTATCAGTGCTCAGGGTCTTGAGATAATCTGAACAAACACTGGTATAAAGTTACACGTTTTTGCTCAGTTTGTCTCAAGACCCTGTATATCAATATTCCCTACTACTCATTTAATCCTCTTATCAGGGACCTATATACTAGTATATAGGGCCCTATTCTTATTTTCAGCAATTTTCACATAAGTTGAACTAAAAATGCAACAATAGAACAGGTTAAATGGTGTTTCTGTTATAAAAGAAATGGTGTTACAATAAGTTATTTACAATTCAATAAATAGGTAACTAGTGTCCATGTGGTTTACACATTAATAGACTTGCAGTGCAATAGACTTTCTGACATTCCGAATTTGCTCAAACGAATGAAGAGAAAAGGGGTTGATCATGCTAATTTTAACGCCTCAAACCTGAGTTTTGGGAATTTCATCAGAAGATATCGTAGATTCTAGCACTACTTCTTCTCTGACTTTCTTTTTCTTTTTTCCAGTATGATTCTGCTCGAGTTTTCTTTTCGTCATCGCGTGCAAATGTTGATAACCCTGTACTTCTGCGGAGCTGTTGTGCAGGGTGCAAGTCAATGCGTTCCTAAGAATGAAAATCTGAAGAAGAAAAATTGTTTCATGGTCATTAATTTTTATTTCATGAACAATTAACTTATGAAAATAAAAAAAAATGATAATCACAGATTCCATGCCCTATGTCAACCCTGAGATGCTTTGTTTGTTAATGCAGACATGGAAAAAAAGGGTGGTCGCTCGCCTATCCCCTGGATTTTCATTATTATTAAATATTGACTCATTAATCTATTCTAAATGCTTTCGGACCCTACAGCCCCTTATACATTTAAATTCAAGAAGTAAGCTTCTTTTTCGAAACTGTTATAAGAAATAAACTTAATAATTTAGTTCATTTTTTGATTACTGAAGCACGAATCATTCAATGTATGAGTTAATATCTTTGTTATTATTTTTAGAAACATATTTTCGCGAAGATTGTCTCACTTATTTTGAGATGTCTTCAGAAGCAAGTGGAAAAGAGAAAGATTCTGGGGTAAATGGGTCACCAGTAAATCCAGCCGGTCTTAGGAAACCCCTCCAATCTACTCAAGAAAAACTTCGAAATGAACTATGTATGAATCAAAATTTCGAATTTACTCTGTTCTCTGCACATGTTTTAAATTAATTTTGGGAAGACTACGTCTTTCGTGTTGTTAAATTTTGTTTTTAGACATATTAATTTATATTTTTGATGCACAAGCTGTAGTACTTAATGTTTTGGGATATAATAACAAGATTTGTAATTTACCATCTGGTAGCATCATTAGAAAAACTGAAACTGAAATGACTACAAGTTCGCATTGAATTTCAACTTGTATTGCAAATTTTGCAATGTTCTCCTATTATTTCTTTTTAATTCTGAAAAAAATAAGATATCTATGTATATAACAAATTGCATATGTGATGGAACAACCATAAAAGAATAGTGTATGCCACGTACTTTAAACATGATATCATTAATTTTTGGTGTACATGTACTTCAGCTACCTTTGCAAATAATTTGAGTTTATTTGTCTCAGAGTATTGTAGTTGCACAAATGAGGCAAACATATTTATTTGCTAGATCTCATTCTGATTAGAATTAGTTTCAATAAGCATGGTAATTAAGTCAGAAAAGATAAAAGTGGTCTAAAAGCTAAAAGAGAAACAATGTAGTTTTGTAAAATGAGAACTCATTATGGTTGCAATACAATTCCAGGGTGATGTAAGCAGGTATATTTTGTTTTCTTTTTGTTTCAGATTCACCAAAAAAGCCCCAAAGCAATCTCTCAGTTAATGCACCAGAATTTGTACCCAGGAAGGTTTGTATGAGATTTCATTTTTGTATTGTTTTACAATTATAGTCCGTAGAAATAAGCATATTTAAAAAGTAAACCTGACACATTTTGTGGCCAAAGTAAAGAAGTGTACTACCAACTGACCAATTCAATGGCTAATTGAATTTTCAAACTTATAAACATGATAAATAATATCATTCATTTAGTCCCAGAATACAGATACAAAATATTCTAAGATTATTAGCTTAATAACTTAATAAAGGCATGTTTGTGAATCCAAATAGGATGGGAATATTAAATGCACTTGCTGTTGAACAATGTCACTCCAGACTGGAAAATAAGAATTGTACTTTTGGCAAGATCTGCCTGCAAAAGTGTATAATTATCTAGAATCAAATGATGCATAATTTCAATGGCTCTTTTAGGAGAAAGTGTTTCTTTATCTTATGTATTAAAAGTATTGTTATACTTGCTTAATTGTGGAGAGTGGTCTCATGAATTGTAAGGTAAAAAGCTCTTTGTATTTGGGGACAAGCCATAGTCGGATGTACATTGTAAATTCAAGGAAGTAATTTAAATTGGATGCCCCAAAAAACCTGGAAGGTCTAGACAACTTAAAGAGGAACAACAAAAGCAAAAAAATCTTTTGATTTATGTAGAGAAAATACAGTTAATCATCCAAGAAATAAAAAGATGTAAAGCCCTTGCATATGAATTCAGATAAACTGAAAAGGTGCAGCTTATATATGGACCTGTTTTCATCAAATTAGAAGGGGTTTATAACTGTTTTTCTATGATTGGAAGATTTTTTGCAAACGATACATCGTAATGATCACCATTACCCCAACCATTTATTTAAGCAGTACTTGACCTCCAGTTGAAGAGTTACCATGTATAAAAGATATATCTTTAGCAGTGGTTGTGATAGAGAAAATACAGTAAAACTTGTCTAATCCGAACACACTGGTTCCATTGAAATTGGCCAGATTAGACAACATTCCAGATAAGACAATACAGGATTTCAAATTAAATTTACTGAAAGGGACCAAACAATTTTACATCATAATATACAAGATTTCAGATTACTCAACATCCAGATTAGACAAGTTTTACTGCAGTTTGAGTTCTGTAAAATTAAAGGTAGTGGTTTGCCTAATAAATGTAATTGGTCAAATTTTCAGGCATATAAAGATGTTGATGAAGGATTTTCATTTGGCTTCAATTTTGTACTAAATCAGAATAAAGTTAGGTGAGAGAATAGATGAATTATTGGTAAATCAGCAGAAATGTAAGGTTGCTGGAGGTTTGGGCTTTTTGAGTGCCCTTTTGCTGTATTAATGTAATCTCAGGGATAGACATTAACTTTCAGAGTCACTTGCCATTCGGGCAAGTGATCTCAAACTTTGACTTGTCCAAATGCAAAACTTGGTATTGCCCAAAATTAGGAAAGAACTTCGGAAGAAAATTATTAATTACTGCAAACATTATGATAAGAAAAATGTGAACAAATACACTACTGTCAATTTTGCCAGTTTTATCTCCCTGAAAAATGTCGATGCATGCTGCATTTGTAAATAAATGTATACTGCTTTACTTGTAAATTTAACCTGTTAACACACACTCCCATGCAACAATAACACTCCGTTTTCTTTTAATAAATTCATATTTTTAAAAATTATTTTCGGTAGGATCCTTTTGTGATTCGTGATTTTCAGAGATAACAGTGAAGCAACGCTTAAGGAAGATAGTTCCTATGAAACATACATCTTATCTTGATCAGGATACATTGTGTTACACTATAATTATATTCTGTGCTTGAATAAATAATCTTATTTCCTAATAAGAAGTTAACAAAATTTTATTAGACGTAGTAAGAGTGTATTTACTAAACGAAAGACAATAACGAAGCTGATTTTTAGATGAGTGGTATAATCCAGAAATGCTACCAAGGAATTCCAAGAAAAGCATTGTCATCAGGTGCATGGCGGAAATTAAGCGTTCAATTTATTGTTTTATTTATAAATTAATGTAAACTAAATAAATATGTACATTTGTATAAGAAAAATTCACTTGCCCGATTGGACAAGTACGTCGACAATTTCACTTGCCCGAACTAAGAATTTACTTGTCCCGGGCAATCGGACAACCGTTAATGTCGATCCCTGAATCTGTGTGTCTTTTTATCAAGACTGATTCACCATTGCTAGAGTTATAGATTGGTAAATGAGCCAAATTATGTGGATACATCACAGCTGAACTTTGGATTGGCACCACGTCTGTTATCATGGCATATGCATTGGAATAACTCTCCATCAATTTTACAACATCAACATGAAAACTGGAACTGTTATTTCAGGTTGCATCAGTGAAATTTTTATGAAAATATACATCATAGTGAATATTATAAAAAGTCTTCATGGTCGCTTCAGCTTCAATTTATTTTTTTAGCAAAAAATGCAGAAGTCAAACATGTCGGGATAGACCAATATATACCAATTCTGGTGTAAAGTTACTTTGTAATTTACTGTTAATTTGCAAATCATGGTAAATCACGCATATTTAATATATCAGAATACTAGTACATGTATATATAATTTTATATAATTGCTACAAATTTAACGTCATTGTTTATTTTTAGGTACCCCATTAATAGAATATACACATGATATATATGTGTTCTACACAATTGAAGCATTTCTTGAGAACAGTTCATTTTCAGGTTCATATTTAATTAAGACTGTCATCTTACAAGAGTAGAAGTACAGAGTAGAAAAAGAACTCATAGTCTTGATTCAAAGGGTGTCTGTTAATGAATTACTGATTCATTGTTGATAATGTTTGTATAAAAGATATGAACTCTTAAAAAGGCATATTTGATTTCATTTAAGTAATAATTTAGAAGGTAATCTTGGCTTTTATGCCAGTGACTCATCTAGTCTGTGTACAAAACACATTGGACATAACATCAGAATATTTCAAATGTGCCAGGAGTCTTCATCAGCTATGCATGATTAAAAAAAATCCTATCTAATGCTTATGTATTATATGCTTCTCAGATTTAAAAGAAAAACAGCAAGTTTGCAATCTTTTTTAATTTAAATTTTCATGTTTTTTTTTATTATCTATAATTTTCCATTATTTGCAGGCATCACAACTTCAAAAACTTTAGTTCTTCTGTTCACGCTTCTGACAAAAGCAAATAAAAAATACAGTATTGTATGAAAATGGCCAGATTGTTTGCTTGCAAATAGAACCTTGTATATCACTTAAAATAAAAAAAAAAAAAAAAATTGAATTAAAAAAAAATGATCAAAGTCTATTATCACAATTCGTTGGGATACAGTATGGATTAGGGCTTTAATTCTTTGGTTACTTGCTTTTTGCAGACTACATTTTCTGTAACAGCTGCCGAATTTGTTCCCAGACAGCAGCCCTACCCTCAGTATTCAAAGGTATAACACATGTAATCTGTATGTGTCTGTCACTTGTACGGGAGGCTAATCAGTTAGTTCTGTCCTTCCATTTGTCTAAATCTGTATTTTGCTTCGTCCAGTCAAAATTTCGTCTCTTCCTTTTGAATGCATGGTTTGATGCTATATGAATTCCTGTATTTCTTCATAATATACCTTTCCCATGATTTCATCTATTAATTTGGCAGTAAGAGGCATGTGTTGAAGTTTTCTTTTCAGTATTGTTAGCATTAGTGTTGACAGTAAATTTGACTAAT